CAATATGCACTGTGCTTTAACCAGCTCTTGCATAGTGGACTATAAAATCAAAGCCTTCTATTCACCATTCTAATCAACAGCACCCAATACGATACAAAAACTCGAAACCAATAACCAGACGAATAAACAATAAAAATGGCCGGAAAAAACACATGCTTGGGCTTCCATGCAGCTCTAATGGTGATCAAATGTCTGAAGCAGACCCCATCAACACAGGTTTCTACATGGTGAGATCTAACAACAGAACAATCTTATTCGCAAAGTGGTATGCCCAGAAAAACTACTCAACCAAATTGAAAGAGCAGGATGTTTTAAATGGCACGATGAAGGAAGAAGTTTTCAGAGAGTTAGGCCTCAGCGTGAGGTTTTTGGACACCCGTTACTTCAGTGGCTTCTGTGAAGTTAGCAGGGACTTCAAAGCTGTCACAACCGTTCATGCCAATTGCTGCCGGACTCTAGGTGCTAAGGTGGTTGATCTGACGGCTGTGGTTCACGATTGGAAGAGGTTCAAGAGCTTATCTAATTCCAACTCGACATCGACTTTGAAATGGACTAACCATGTAGCCTGTAATCGGTCCTGGAAGTGCAATAAAGTGACCTGGGGCTAGGTTTTTAATTGCTTCACTTCTAAATGACCATGAAAATAATTAAAGACATTTTTTTTTTTTTTTTTTTTTAATATATGGTCATCCTATCAAGAGGATTAATTGTCTCAGTGACAACTGCACTCTTTCTGAAAGAAAATTTTTGTTGAAAGAGTTATTGAATTTGAGTGAACTACATTTTTTCTGAATGAGACGAATTCCCTTAAATAAGATGAACTTCCTAAAATTAACACTAAATTCCTTTTTTTAAGATATTTGAACTGGGGTGGAGCCCACCCTAGTCTAACTATGGCTCCACCCTTGCTAATTTGTGACTATATGATGCTATATCCTTAATTTTCAAGGCTATAATTGAGATTTTACATGAGATGGTTAAGAAAAACTCTCTTAATTATGTCCCCTTCCTTCCCAAATTAAGCTGCTAGCGGGTTTCTGTTATTCAGCTAATTCAAAGTGTGGATCTGAAATCCCAATGAACATTAGCCACTAATTGAAACCCAAATGTGCGAGAAGCTCTCCAAGTTTCACAAATTTTGGATGAATCCCTCTAAATATGTGCCTCAGCAGCTCTTTAGTGGACTATAAAATCAAATCCTTCTACCATTCTAATCAACAGCAACCAAAAACATACAAAACCTCAAAACCAAAAATCCAAAAAAAATTTTAAAAAAAAATGACCGGAAAAACAACATGCATGGGTGTCAATGCAGCTCTAACCATGACATTAATTCTCCTCACTGCCACCATAGCCATGGCGGATGATGATACACCGGTACCAGCCGACCAATCCCAAGTCAACACATGGTTCAATAACAATGTGAAGCCGTACACAGAACAGCAGGCCACGCTTGACCCTGCCCTTGCAACGGCTGAGGCTGGTCAAACAGTCATCAAGGTCATGAAAGATGGAAGTGGACAATTCAAGACTATTACCGACGCCATTAATAGCATTCCGGCCAGTAACACCAAACGTGTCATTGTGTACATTGGAGGGGGAGAGTACGAAGAGAAAATCACAATTCCACGAAACAAACCATTTGTTACATTTTATGGCTCTCCAACCAATATGCCAACTTTGACCTTTGCTGGCACAGCCCAAAAGTATGGAACTGTGAACAGTGCCACAGTGATTGCTGAATCTGACTACTTCATGGCAGCTAATGTTATTTTTAAGGTATTTAAATTTATCAAATAAACATGTCACATGATATTATCATCACATAATAAATATTTGTTGACATTCTTTTATTATTTTTGTGTGGGGATTAAAATTTGCGTTGATTTGTGGTTGTGAAGAACTCTTCGCCAAGGCCAGATGGGAAAGCAGTGGGAGCGCAGGCAGTGGCATTGAGGGTGTCAGGGAACAAGTCAGCCTTGTACAATTGCAAGCTTATTGGTTTCCAAGACACCCTTTGTGATGACAAGGGCAATCATTTTTTCAAGGACTGCTTTATTGAAGGCACCGTGGATTTCATCTGGGGAAGTGGAAAGTCTCTCTATTTGGTAATGCCACCTAAACTCTCCTTATAATTCCTCAATGAAAGGAAAATCTATTAAGGAACTCTATATGCGACTCGTCATATAATAGTGAATTTCACATACATGTTGTAAGAGGAACGTTATATGTACGATTAACTCATCTGTATAATTGAGCTTGTTGATGGTCTATATTATGTCATGGTTTTGATGGTTAATTAATTAATGGGTGCAGAACACTGAGTTACATGTGGTGGGAGATAATGGATTAACAGTGATAACAGCACAAGCAAGGGACTCAGCTTCAGATGATACTGGATACTCATTTGTCCACTGCAACATAACCGGGACTGGAAATGGCACATATTTGGGCAGGGCTTGGAGGATCAGTCCCATGGTGGTCTTTGCCTACACCAGCATGTCCGAGGTCATCAACCCCGCTGGCTGGAGCAACGATAACCGCCCCGAACGTGAGAGGTAAGCAAATTTATATACACTAATTAAACAGTTTCATATAATTGATTGGTTTTGAGAGTTAATTAATACTTATCAATAATTTTATTATTATTATTTGTTCTTATTATTATTATTGTATGTGGCAATATTGTAGCACTGTGTTCTATGGAGAATACAAGTCTTCGGGTCCAGGTTCAAGTGTGGCTGGGAGAGTAAAATACACCAAACATCTGACGGACGAACAAGTCAAACCTTTTCTAAACCTTGGCTATATTCAGGGTTCCAAATGGCTGCTTCCTCCTCCAAATCCTAAAGTGTAGATATTGGATATAGTTTTCTTAAATATATATATATATATGTATGTATGTATGCTAATATACGATTGAGAAAGCCGGCCGCACGCCTCATGCAAAATGTACATGAGCTAGCCATATAGTAATGTATAAAATCAATATTATGATCTAATTTGTGAAGATCTTCCTCTATACAATAGTTTGTCGATTTGATTGGTACAAAAGACACATTAACATTTATTAATACTTACGCTCCACTTTTCAAGGTTCTAAGATCTATAATGCACGTACAAAAAAAGAAAAAAGAAAAAAAAAGGGGACCGCTTTTTAATTTTCACATAAGAAATAAGTCGTGCAGCGCAAAGAGTTAGGTTAAGCCTTGATTAGATTCTAACTGAACTTGCTTGATGATGAGTGAGATTTTGTGGTTTTCTCTTTCTAAAACATCCAGATCGTGTGGAGAATAAAAATCAAGTATAATCTAATTTAATAGGTTCCACAATTTAGTAATTAAAGTTCAATTCTGAAAAATTTGGGATGGAAAAGCTTGTTTGGTGCTAACAGAAGAATAAATTGTAATTTATCGATTTGTTATGGATCAAATATACGTCACTCACATTGTTTTCAAATGGATTTGTGTGTATGGTCTTTGAATTGTAAGGGTAATTAAGGGTGGACACAAAATTGCAAGGAACAGAAACTTCTTATTAATGAGAAGTAGAAGAAATTAAAATTGTTCCTGCATTAATATTTTAACCTCCACATCCATCAAACACGTTCCATGCTAACTAATATCATCATCATTTGATTAACACCGTATGTTATCATATTGATTATCCCAAAATATGATTTACAGGCTCTGTAAAGAATGGTATTTTGATTCATCAAGTACTAGCTACAGCATATGTTTTAAAAAATTGATTATGCATACATACAGCAGGTGGGACAATAAATGCTATAATATGCTTCCCACTACATACTAAATTAACATGAAATAAAGAGACTAATTTTATTGTGTAAATGAATAATTGGACATGAAATATGAAAGTGATCATTATACTGGAAGGTAAGAAGTGATTAATTATATATTCATATCAATCTGAGAGTTCAATTTTTTACTTTTTTTTTTTTTTTTTTTTTTTTTTTTTTTTTTGGGTGTGTGTGATGGAATTTTACAATAAATCAATAGACTCGGATAATGGCCTAATAGTAATAGATAATGCCCTAAACTATCCTTACCTATAAAGGAAAATCGGGGGAAAAAATTTAAGAGAAAAAAAAGGAGCCCTTGTGTCAAAATAAGTATAACCGCGCGGCTATACTATTCAAGAGTACAGCCAACCGGCTATATGATTTTTTTAAAATTTTTAAAACCGAGTACATCCTAGCGGCTATACTATTTATAAATATAAAAATAACTCGCAGCTAATACGCGGCCACGTGTCAACATCCGTACAGCCGTGTGGCTTTTTTTTTTTTTTTTTTTTTTTTTTTTTTTTTTTTTTTTAAAAAGTGACCGCCCGGCTATACTATTTTTATTTTATATAAAAAAAAACCCGAGTACACCGCCGACCGGCTATACGATTTATAAAAATTAAAAAAAGACGCCCTAGCGAATAGGTGGCCACGTGTCAAAACCCGTATAGCCGAACGGCTATACTATTTTTTAAACAATAAAAAAAATTATATTTAAAAAAAGCAAAACCGATCTAGCCGACCGGCTATACTAGTTTAAAAAAATATAAAAACTAAGTACAGCCGCTCGGCTATACTATTTATAAAAATAAAAACGTGTCAAAAACAGTATAGCCGCACGGCAAGTTTTTTTTTTTTTTTTTTTTTTTTTTTTTTTTTTTTTTCATCTTATGGATCATGTCACATACATAATAATATACTCACTTAAATTTTCAAGCGTAATAATATGAATTACATTTTAAAGTAATTAACTATGTCGAAAATTAGATCGAAATATACAAAAATGAAAAATCATTGCCAACCAAAACACCTTGCTCCTGGACTATAATAGGAGCAATTGAAGCAAATTGAGTTACAAAAAATAAAATAAAATAAGCAAATTGAGTGGCCACAGATAGCCAAACCCGCTCTTTCCTGCAATCCGAAGAAGAAGGCACTCAAGGAAGGAATCCCATCCATCCTCCTCCTCCTCTCCATGGCCACCGCAAACCTTTCCATACCCCTTCTCTCTCTTCCACGTCACCACCACCTCCACCTTCACCCTAACCTCATCACCGTTCCAACTCGGCTTCGACTCGGCCTGCGAACTCAAGCTCTGGGCCATGACATGCTGGGCGATTTTGGCGCCAGAGACCCCTTCCCAGCTGAGATAGCAAGTGGGTTTGGTGAGAAGGTGTTGGGCACCGGCAACACAGAGCACAAGATTCTCATCCCCATTCTCTCTTCTCTCTCTCTGTCCCAGCTAGACTGCAGCCCTGTCTCACCTCTCCAGCCTCCTATGCCTGAAGACGATGCCCAGAAGCTCCTCAGAAAGGTCAATTCTTCATTGATATCTTCGATATGTATGATGCTTCTGTGGTGTTTGATGAAATTACTGTGTAAAGTCTTAGTCTTTGCTTAGCTTAGCTTTGCCCAATTTTCTTATCCTGAAGAAGATTACCCTTTTGGGTTCTGTTTGTAAAGTTAAGGACTTTTGTGGGTTGTGTGTTCTAGAATTGAGGTCTGAAGCTGTGATTTTGTTTTGTTTCCAAAAATTGGATGGTTTTGATTTTATGCAAGCAAATTGGAACTCATTTATGCCTTGCTTCTGTAGGTTGTTGGGTGGAGATTGATAGTTGGAGAAGGTGAGCTCAAATTACAGTGTCTTTGGAAATTGAGAGATTATAAATGTGGGGTTGAGCTCATCAACAGGATTTATAAGGTTGCAGAAGCTGCAGGGCATTTCCCAAATCTTCACTTGGAGCAACCCAATCAAGTTAGAGCAGAGCTATGGACATCTTCCATTGGTAAACTTCTTGCAAACTTGTAGAAACTTTTCATTGGGCTACTTGCCATACCATTTGCACATTGCTAACTTGAAACTTCATTGCAGGAGGATTGAGCATGAATGATTTCATTGTAGCTGCCAAAATAGATGATATAAAAACATCAGATCTTGTGCCCAGAAAAAGAGTTTGGGCTTAGATGAAGCATTGTGTTTGTTTGTTGCCTTCATCAATAAGAATCCCCAAAAGGAGCATTCTGTAGTATGGATTTTGTCAGCATCTAATTACCACAGAGGCTCAAGTTTTTATAAAAATGTTGGAAGGAACATTATTCTTTTCCCGATGGATGGATAATCTGTTTATTTTATCAGAAGTACAATCATACGTCGACCCAAAAAAAGAAACGAATACCATTCTTATGATGGGAATTTGAAGTGATTCGTATAACATCATCCAACAGAAGTTTCAAAAAGCAAACGTCTTCCCAACATTTTCACACAAGAAGAAATAACTTGTCAAAAACGCATTGGTGGGAAATGAATTTTGAACATGGGTAAATTCTGTTGAACCTTGGACAAGTTTTATAAATCAATGTTGCCCTTGATACATTTATTTTTAATAATTTTGGTCTAGAAAATTCTTTAAAAAAATAAAACATTTGGGATATAATTAAAATATTTTTTTTATTTTTTTTATTTTAACACTCACAGCCTTCCTTACCCAAAAAAGAAAGAAAAAGGAAAAAGAAACGAACTCTCACCGCCGCGCATAAAACGGAGTGGCAGAGCGGGTAGCAATGCATATAGCCGTTGTACGAAGTTCTAAGCACAAGGCGTAGCTCAAAAGCGCGCTCATGGAGAAGCTGAAATCTCTGGTTCCAGAAACCCTAAAGCGAATGATCGGAGAGAGCTCTGCTGACGATCTTCCTCGCACATGTTCTTCTCTCGTCGATTTTCTTCTTCATTTCGAGCCCTTTCACCAAGTATGTCATTATTTTTGTACGTTCTAATTTATGAGCTTCGAGAAACAAACAATAACAGAAGAAATGAAATGAATGAATGATTAAAATTTGTCGTATTTGATTAGATGGTGAGGGACTTGGCGGACCCTGAAGTGGCTCTGTGTGGCAAGAACAAAGAAGCTGCTTTGGAGTCAAAGCAAAAGGGGAATAAGTGCTTCTTGAGTGGTGATTATCCTAATGCTTTGGATTTATATACTCAGGTACCTCCATCTTTGAAATTACTTCTCTATTTTGAAGCCATTGCTAGAGCTAACCCTTACTTGTTTGTTTATTATCACTGGCATGAGGCACAGGCATTGTTAGTTGCTCCTATGGATGCACATGAAGACAGAAACTTGGTTGCTACTTTGTATGTGAATCGGGCTTCTGTATTGCATGTAAGTCCCATTCTTGATTTATGTGGGTATGTACCAAACGTAACAAGTTCAATTCTTTATCAACAGATTTCATTGCTCACTGTTAGTGTATCTGTTATGTGTAATCCTTAGAAAATGGGTCTTCTAAGGGAGTGTTTCCGAGACTGCAATCGGGCGCTTCAGATTTCTTCAAACTATGCAAAGGTGAGATGCTTTTATTGCCTAGCGTTAAGGTGTATTTTAATGAGTTAGAGATGCCTTTTTTTACTGGAGGATAAAGGAGACTAAGAGAGTTACAGTTTTCTTCAAATTTACTTTTCTTCCTTTTTCCAATGTAGGCATGGTACAGAAGAGGTAAGGCAAATGCTTCTATGGGAAATTATAAGGATACTATCCGTGACTTGGATGTTGCTAAGATTCTGGAGTTGACAATGGGTGGAAAGAGACAGATAGAAAGTGAGATGAAGAATATTTTGGATCAACAGAATAGTACATCAAATCCATCAATACAACAGTATGAGAGTACCTCAGATATTTTGGGTAAGATATTACCATATATTATCACATTGAGTAACTATAATCAAATATTCTGATCTCAGGAATGAAAATCTGTGCTCACTCTGGATGAGTAATCACCTTATGGTTTCTTAAGATATTTTAGACATTGGGCCCCCTAAGTTTTTATAACCTGTGATTAAAACTAAGATGAAAAAAATAGCAATTTGGAGACATGCAAAAGCAACAAAAATGGCTCCATGTCGACACATAACAGCTTGAAATGGTATTCTCACTGAGAATATTCTGTTGGTTTCATCATATTTATGTTTTTTTAACGTTATATTGAGTTAAGCTGATGGATTGATGTTCATACTTTCCTTAGGATGTAGCAGTGACAGGGTCTCATTTTGAGTGTACTTATGTTGTTGAGCCTTTTAATGCAATCTTTACTTTTTTTTAATTATGCTAAGATATTCCTGACTTTACAGCTTGTTTTGCTGGTTAAACTTCCTGCCTCTATTTTCTTTCTAAATAAAACTAGTCATGTTAGGGAAGTTAAGTATTAGCAACCTAATTAAAGTACCTTGTAATCCATTAGATGAACCGCACCCAACGGGATTACGATGTGTCGCCACACCAGAGAAAGGAAGGGGTATGGCTTCAACAGGTGACCTTCCTCAAGCGTCCTTGGTACATACCGAAGACCCTTTTTCGATGGTATGAACAGAGACTTCTTTTATATGTGCTATCGTGTACTTCTTTTCAGTTTTGTTAGTCGCCATTACTTTGCTACCGAATTGGATAGAGAGATGTTCCCCTTCTATGCAGGCATTCCTGATCCTCTATAGTTGTGGTTTGGGAAACTAAATTGTTGTGTGATCCACTGCCTTGTCTCCTTTTTTCCTTTCAATTAGCATATCTGTGCAATACAGATGGTTGAGATCTTTTGAAGGGATGTTCTTTTTACAGTCCAATCAGAACATGTACCCCTGGAAAATTTATTGTGAAACTAAAAGTAGATATGTATCCTACAGTTTAATTTCATTTATTACATTCTCGTCATCAAGAGGCATAAGAAAAAATCGAAGCAGAATGGTGTACCATCTTCATTTTGTCTTTCAGTGAGTGTTGATTAATACTTCACAAGTTGCTGAAGAGGAATTATTTATTTAAACTTATTATCTTCGAAGCTCAAGTTGTGTTCAAGTATCATTTGTGCATCTTTTTTACCAACAGAGTAGGCTCTTATTGCCATTGGAAATATATGCAGTTCTTCTGAGGATTCTAAAATAAATTGCCCCTGTGCTTTGCAGATAATATTAAAGCCTTGTCGGGAAACTCATTGCCACTACTGCTTAAATGAGCTACCAGCGGATAAAGTCCCATGTACATCATGTTCAATACCATTGTATTGCTCCCAGAAATGCCGTATACGAGCAGGAGGAAAAATGTCCTGGGATTACCCAAACAATCAAAGGATTCATGAAAATTTATCAGCTGATCTTGAAAAGTACATTGCAGAGACCACTTTAAATGTTGATTCTGAAACAGATACTGAGCACATTCCTGAACATAAACATGAATGTAAAGGTGTACACTGGCCAGCAGTATTGCCTTCTGAGATAGTTTTGGCTGGTCGTGTGCTAGTAAAGTCTATAATCAAAAGAAGAGGTTCTGGGGATATTTTTAATCTCAGAGAAATTTTGGTACATATAGTGACTATATTTTCTACTTTACTAATTTTCATTTCAGTTGACTGTCTTACTATTTCATAAATGGATGTCTTGTAGCTAAATGACCTGTATACTTTTCTTGTAGGATCTTTCTCACCATTACTCAAAATTGCCTCCGGAAAGAAAATTGGAATTACATATATATTCAGCTGTATTATCATATTGTCTTCAATATTCCGATGATTTTGAATTACCAATAAATGGGTTCTCTATTTCACAGGTTGACTCTCTCTCTCTCTCTCTCTCTCTCCTGCATGCACACACGCAGAGTCAGGGTTACACCTTTGGTGAATTATATATCTAAGAAACAAGAGGGTTAAGCAATGATGAAACGACTTCCTGGATCTGCCCTTGCAGGGTGGTTACTACCACGCCCATATGTGCAAATCCATAGATTATCATTTTTGTAGGACAATGCTATATATTGAAATCTAAAAATCATGTTTTTCAACTAAGTGGTCATTCTCTCATCTACTTGCATACAAAGTTTCATGTGTGTCCTATTTTGTTAGAGAGTCAGTGTGATACTTCCTTACAATTTTCTCATAATAGAGTCACTTTGAAAGTCAACTTGTGTAGCAAGGATGAAAATCTTAAAAATGTTCATCATTATAATCAAATTATGTTAACAGGTGAGAGATTGCAATGGATGTTAACCTATTTTCTGACGTCTGTATATACTTGGACGATCTATATCTCAATAGCAATTTAGATTTCATGCCTTGATTGTCACCTATTATATAAGGTTTCGTTCTCCTGTTTTTGCAGATTGTCATACTTATATCCCAAATTAGGGTGAACTCTATGACTGTTGTTCGTATGAAATCCATTGATCAGCATGGGTTAGAAGATATTGGAAAGTTTTCATCGTTGGGTGGAGGTCTAACTAGTAATGTGGAACAGGTTTGCATTTATGGTATGCTTTATTTATTTTGCTCCTTTTTGTTTCTTCTCTTATCTGACCACTCTTGTTCCAATCAGTTACACTGCTTTTTTCCATAATAGTCTTGAACTCTGTTTATTAACTTGGAATTTTCATGTGTGACACTGCAAAATGTGATAATTTATGTAAAACTTCTTGTATTGATATACGTTTCACTTCAGTTCATAAAAATTATGCCCTTTGACCCTGTGTATCATCATTTTTGTTACTTTCATAGGTTAGAGTAGGTCAAGCTATCTATACATCTGGAAGTCTATTCAATCATTCTTGTCAGCCAAACATCCATGCATATTTCCTTTCACGTACTCTCTTTATAAGAACGACAGAATATGTCGCAGCAGGGGTACCCCTGGAGCTTTCCTATGGTCCACAGGTATGCTCACTTACTGTTGTATCTCATTCAGTTTGGTAGTGCGGAATAACATTATGATGTTCATGCTGCTATAGTATCTACAGAATGTAGAGACCCCTTTTTTCCCCTCAACCTGTCCACATTTTGAAATACCAACGTGGGACTGTAAAAACTTAGTTTTGTTTCTACAGGTTGGGCAGTGGGACTGTAAGGACCGAGTCAAGTTTCTGGAAGATGAATACTCATTTCGTTGTCAGTGCAGTGGGTGTTTAAAAGTAAACTTCTCTGACCTGGTCCTAAATGCTTTTCACTGTGTCAAACCGAATTGTTCTGGCATAGTCTTGCAGAGCTCTGTTGTTGACTGTGAAAAGGAGAAACTTAAACGCTTACCCAACATCATCACCGCTGGCAACATGGAGCCTCATCTTCAGGTATTGTATGTTTCCTAGAAAGTACAAATTCTCCCGACTCACTTAGATTTATATTCATGTAATCATTCACTTGATGTGCACACAGGCTGAAGAGTTCATCAATATTGATGACATCGATAGAGTGGCTCATCATCATATGCAAATCAATAGCCTTTTTCATATAAATCCAGGCCTCTGTTTAAAATGTTGTTCTTATCATGATCTGGAATCTTCCTCTGCAGCTGCAAATAAAGCATGGATTATTATCAGAAGGTATAACACTGTCTGAAAACTGGTTATGTTCTTTTCAAATTTAATGGCCACCTATTTCCTATGTTCAATCTGCACGCTGAAGTCTTGTGTTCAATACTTGACAGATTACAGGATGCAATAGTCTCAAAAGATGTATCTAGCACCATACTGGTGGATGCATTAAGTTCTCTTGGTGTGCTGAGATCAACTTTCCATGCATATAATAGGAGCATTGCAGAAGTGAGTTTGCGAACACCCTTCAGTTTTGTACAATAGAATTTATATCATTTGAATGTGCAATTTGTAAGTACTAGACGCCAATATCTAAGTTGCTGTTATTGAACAACGTAGAAATTGTTCAATGATTTTGGCACATATGACACTGAATTAGATCACACTTGACTTAAATGATTTTGATCTTTGCAGGCGGAAGACAATCTTGCACAGGTGTTTTGTTTCATTGGAGAGTTGCAACCTGCAATGGAACACTGTAAAGCCTCAATCGAGGTAAAACTCTTGTTGTGCACAAGTCACTTCATCCTGAACTTTTTACATTTGCGTTGATTAGATCTGATTCTGCGAGGATAAATTCATAGATCAGACATGGATACCTCACTAGTCACTGGGTGTACTTATTGTTATTTAGTACATAAATAACTCCAAATGATGTTTTAATGTTGTTTCACATTGACAATTGGCAGATCCTGGAGAAGCTCTATAATCCCAATCACATTGTCATTGGATATGAACTTGTGAAGCTCTCGTCTATTCAGTTATCCTTGGGTGACTGTGCTGCCGTGGACAGCATAAACCGACTTTGTGATATATTTTCGTGTTATTACGGATCTCATACATACAAGATTTTCCCATACCTTCAATTCCTTAAGAGGAGAGAGAAGCAGACCTCTTCCTTGAAGCACCAACAAAAATGATTGTCTGGCAAGTTTTTGGACTCGTTGCCCACCCAAATACTGTTGAGAATGTTAAATGTAAATATAACCTGATCAGTTTGCGGGAGCGCAATTACAATTTGATTCTCCACATCTTTGAACATTGATGCATGAATTGGCATATTTCATGGATATGGATGCATACATCTGATCTGTTTCTAACCATGTCGTCAGGGAATTTCACATGTTTCAATTCAAGGCTTCAACGCAGCGTTTTACGGTTCCTTGGGTGTCAGGGTTTATAAACTAGTTTAGTCAAGGTAATTTCACATCTTTTTGTACACATTTCGGCCCAAATTCAAAATCTCAATTCCCATTCCCATTTCCCATTCTCAAATGCTTTCTGTCACTCTCGAACACAAAAGCCATTGAGTAAAGCCAATTTCATGAATCATGTCCAACCTAGCCTCATCGTTACAACCAGGATCCACGTGGATAAGGTTTGGATAAGATATCGGCTGCTAGGTTTCCGAAATTGCCCATTTTTCACTTCCCTTTTTTAGCCCATTTTTCACTTTGGCTGGGGAAGAAAAGGGAAATTTGAGTTTTGGTTGGAGTTATTATGAAAAATGAAAGAGTTCTTCCCCCACCAATTCTCAAATCCGAAAAAAAAAGAGTTGAGTGAAATATCCCCCCAAAAATTTATAATAAATCATTTTAAAATAAAAAAGGATACACTGAAAATTTCTAAGAACTCCTCGTGACATTATCTTCTGTTTAAAGCTCCAAGATTATAATTTTGAATTATAAAAATACAAAGAAATAATAAAAACTCTACTTTTTTATAGCTATGGAAAATTCTATATATAAGATGAACAGGTTCGCATTATTTTACAAGTTTATTTCTTCATCTAGAATGTGCACGGAATTCCTAATTTAAAATGGTAAGGTTCCTTTTCTTCTTTTTTTTGGTCCAAGTAAGGTTCCTAGTTAAACAATTACATAAATAGCTTTCTTTGGACCGGCCACCTGAAGTCAGTCAATTGCAAGTCTCTCTCGGGTAGCTTCCCAGAAGAAGGACCCATGTACATCCATGCACGCCGTATTAAAAACGTACAATTTTTGGAGCCATTACGTCATTTTGTCTCTCCTTTTTGTTGTCTCTTTGTTGTCTTTGGGTCTTGGTTCCTTTTTTTTAATTTTCTTCTTTCACAAACCCTTAGACAAAGTTGGTTGTGGAAAATATCAAAGTTGGTAGGGCAACGGTAGGGCTTCCTCAAACTTAACCCTCTTCACAATCTATAAAACGGGGTAGTTTTGCACACAAAAAACAACAAAGTAAAGAAGAAGAAACAAAAAGAAAAGAAATCATGAAGGCTGCAGGCTCATTGAGTATGGTTGGTAGGTGTTTGGGTGGTTGTGGTTCCCCCGGCAAAAGGAGACACGACGCCCAGCCAATGCAAGGAGGAGAAGGACCTTCTTATGGGTGCATGCAAGAACGCGGTTATAATAGGGGGCAGTCCCTCTGCATATTGCTGCCAACGTGTTAGGGTGACACATTTCGAGTGTGTGTGCCCTTATGTCACCCCCAAGGTGGCCACCTTGATACCTATCGGCCGTACGATTAAGCAGATTGAAGGCTGTGGAAGAAGCGTCCCTCGCAACTTCAAGTGCGGCAGTGAGTTCACCTCTCTCTCTCTCTCTCTCTCTCTCTCTCTCTGACCTAATTAATCTTTAACACGAATTGATTAATGTCGACAAAAACTAGATCAGCACTAATTAAATATATATAGTAATTTCTTTATTTGTGTGGATCTGATCATCTGATTACTTTGGTTAATCTTTTTTTGTTTTTTTGTTTTTTTGTTTTTTTGTTTTTTTTTGTTTTTTTTGCAGGTATCACCACCCCACCATAAGAAGAATATTCTAGCCAGCTACAAGAATATATTGTTATGCTTGATTATCAAATAAAGAATCATCTTAATTAGCTTTCTTTCAAGCTATCAGTTACATAAATTTGAAGTGTACAATTCATATATGCACTTATGTATAGTGGAGGGAAGGTGAAAAATACGTATGACTTTCCTCAAATAAAAGTGGATGTTTCCTATGTGGATTTAAATTCTCTGCTTGGATTCTCTACAATATGATATGCTAGAATTCTTTTCTGCATATGTCACTTCATTAAAATAAAATCCAAGGGACATTAAGTTGACACATCACCTTTAACACAAAACCCAATTTTCTCATAATTAAAAAAGAATATAAAACCCAATTTAATTGTCATATATATTACAAATTAACATCAAGATTGGCCTGCTTGGTTTTTATAAATTTCTATCAATTCGTGCACCAGTTCATCTTTACTCCTAGAGTTCTATTTCCATCAGATTGTTATGCTTTCCTTTATACTGAAGCAACCTTATAAACGAATTATAATAGAATTATCTTTTCAATAAACGTTATTTTATGAGATTATTATTTTGTCACTCAAATCATTGTGGTACGTTTTTTAGTGCTCGAAATTATATATGAAATAACCTTTAAGTTTGTGGAAGAGTTGAAGAAGAGGATTGGTTTAGATTACAATCGGCTATCTCGGATGTCAATTATTGAGGAAAGTGCTGTGAATGTATATTTAAAACCAAACAAGTGAGAGACAATTTACAAAAATACAAAAGCACGTAATCTAATTAATAAAATTTCCATATCCGAGTCGGTATGCACCAAATCTAATTAATAAGCAATTAGGGCAAACAAACAACCCACTAAGTTTAGGGTTTAAGGTTTAGGGTGTAGGAAAGCATAATATTGGAAAGAGAGGCATTAGTTATCATTTCTCCATTGGATTCTCCTTCTTCTCCTGCGCATTCATCATATCCCTGGCTGCTCTTGAGCTCTAGCAATACGCTCACGTAGCTGTTCATTCGCTCTAGCCCGTTTCTCCACGTCCTTGAGAAAGAAGAACTCAGAGTCACCACAAATACAATTAAAAATTAAATAAAAAAGAATAATAAGGAAGCCCTACCAATAATAGTATTTCTGCGGCAATGTGTTTCTCCCTCACCCTCGCTAAACGAACCTCTATCTCCATCAGGTCTTGAACCTTCTTCTCCCTCAGGGATTGTAATTCAACATAATACTCCTTGAACTTTCTTATCCAAGCACCAGCTGCAGCAATTGATCCCAACATTACACACGATGCACGGGTATATACGGAGATATACAGTCGGTACCGTGGACAGAATAAACCGACTGAAAGGTTTTGAATATTCTCGATGATTTTCACTGAACAATCGTGTGATAATTATATACAATGTTTTGCTTGGTGTCTATACAAAGGATTTCCTATTCTAGGCAAGAATCAAGTCCTTGAGAGACAAGAAATATATACAGCAAATCAATGAAATAAATACAAATAAATAGGAAACCCCAAAGGTGTGTGTGCGCTCTTATGTCACCCCCAAGGTGGCCACCTTGACCTATCGGCCATACGATTAAGCAGATCGAAGGCTGTGGAAGAAGCGTCCCTCGCAACTTCAAGTGCGGCAGTGAGTTCATCTCTCTCTCTCTCTGACCTAATTAATCTTTAACATGAATTGATTAATGTCGACAAAAACAAGATCAGCACTAATTAAATATAAATAGTAATTTCTTTATTTGTGTGTAGCTGATCTGATTGCTTTGTTTGTTTTTTTTTTTTTTTTTTTTTTTTTTTTTTTTTTTTTTTTTGTTGGTATCACCACTCCACCATAAGAGGACGAATATTCTAGCTAGCTACAATAATATATTATTAATTATGCCTGATTATCAAATAAAAGAATCATATTAATTAGCTTTCTTTCAAGCTATGAGTAACATAAATTTGAAGTGTACAATTCATGTGCGCTTCTGTATTAGATAGCGGAGGGGAGCGGAAAAATACATATGATTTTCCTCAAATAAAAGTGAATGTCTCCTATATGGATTCAGATTCTCTATGCTATGATCTGCTTGAATTCTTTTTTGCATATGTCACCTCATTAAAATAAAATCAAAGGGACATTAAGTTGACACATCACCTTTAACACAAAACCAAATTTTCTCATAATTAAAAAAGAAAATAAAACCGAGTATAGCTGTACGGCTATACTAATTTTTTTAAAGGGAAAAACGAGTACAGCTGTACGGCTATACTATTTATAAAAAAATATAAAAAGACCCCAGCAATTAGGTGTCCAGCCCCTCGGCTATACCTAAGTATTGGCGCGCGGCTATATTCTTTAAATACATTATATTTGAAAGGTAAAGCCCACGGCTATACTATTAATGAGAGAAATTTCACAGCAAATCAATTTGAGAGTTCAATCTTTTTTCTTCTTTTTTTTTTTTTTTTTTTTTTTTTTTTTTTGGTACTGAATTGGTCGTACAGTTAAATTCAATAGAGACTCGAGTAATGGTCTAAAGGTAATAGATAATGCTCTAACCTACTCTTATCAATAAACGAAAATCGGGGAAAAAAAGGTGTGAAAAAAAGTATCTCAGTATATATAGTGTATAGCCGTGCCTCAATTTTTTTAATTCATGCATCAATGTTCAAAGATGTATTTTTTTAATACAAATTTATAAATAAACTCAATCCTAGAAATGTATTTATAAAAAAACTCAAACATTATTTAAACATAGAAACACACCCAAAATCAACAATTGTATATTTTTTAGGTGTGTTTATAAATGGGTTTTGAGTGTGTGTAACGATGAGTTTTGGGTGTGTTTATAAAGTGTTTTGGGTGTTGGGTTTTTTTATAATTTCAGCCCCCATTTTGGGTGTTTTAGCGAAACTCCCTTTTTTTAATTCATGCATCAATGTTCAAAGATGCGGAGAATCAAATTGTAATTATGCTCCCGCAAACTGATCAGGTTATATTTACATTTAACATTCTCAACAGTATTTGGGTGGGCAACGAGTCCAAAAACTTGCCAGACAATCATTTTTGTTGGTGCTTCAAGGAAGAGGTCTGCTTCTCTCTCCTCTTAAGGAATTGAAGGTATGGGAAAATCTTGTATGTATGAGATCCGTAATAACACGAAAATATATCACAAGGTCGGTTTATGCTGTCCACGGCAGCACACTCACCCAACGACAACTGAATAGACGAGAGCTTCACAAGTTCATATCCAATGACAATGTGATTAGGATTATAGAGCTTCTCCAGGATCTGCCAATTGTCAATGTGAAACAACATTAAAACATCATTTGGAGTTATTTATGTACTAAACAAGTACACCAAGTGACTAGTGAGGTATCCATGTCTCATTTATGAATTTTATCCTCGCAGAAATTAGATCCAATCAACACAAATGTAAAAAGTTCAGGATGAAGTGACTTATGCACAACAAGAGTTTTACCTCGATTGATGCTTTACAGTGTTCCCTTGCAGGTTGCAACTCTCTGACGGAACAAAATGCCTGTGCAAGATTGTCTTCCGCCTGCAAAGATCAAATCATTTTAAGTCAAGTGTGCTCCAATTCAGTGTCATATATATGTGCCAAAATCATTGAACACTTTCTACGTTGTTCAATAACAGCAACTTATTAGATATTGGCGTCTAGTACTTATAAATTGCACATCCAAATTATATAAATAATGACAAAGTAGCTCCCAAATAATAACAAAGTGTAGTTATAAATGATCATAATAATTTCGCTGACGATAAATTCTATCGTACAAAACTGAAGGGTGGTCACAAACTCACTTCTGCAATGCTCCTACTATATGCATGGAAAGTTGATCTCAGCACACCAAGAGAACTTAACGCATCCACCAGTATGGTGCTAGATACATCTTTTGAGACTATTGCATCCTGTAATCTGTCAAGTATTGAACACAAGACTTACAGCGTGCAGATTGAACATAGGAAATAGGTGCCCACTAAATTTGGAAAGATCAGAACCAGTTTTCAGACAGTGTTATACCTTCTGATTCTAATCCATGCTTTATTTGCAGCTGCAGAGGAAGATTCCAGATCACGATAAGAACAAGATTTTAAACAGAGGCCTGGATTTATATGAAAAACTCTATTGATTTGCATGTGATGAGCCACTCTATCGATGTCATCAATATTGATGAACTCTTCAGCCTGTGCGAACATCAAGTGAATGATTACATGAATATAAATCTAAAGCGAGTCAGGAGAATTTGTACTTTCTAGGAAACATACAATACCTGAAGATGAGGCTCCATGTTGCCAACGGTAATGATGTTGGGTAAGTGCTTAAGTTTCTCTTTTTCACAGTCAACAACAGAGCTCTGCAAGACTATGCCAGAACAATTCGGTTTGACACAGTACAAAGCATTTAGGACTAGGTCAGAAAAGTTTACTTTTAAACAACCACTGCACTGACAACGAAATGAGTATTCATCTTCCAGAAACTTGACTCGGTCCTCACAGTCCCACTGACCAACCTGTAGAAACAAAGCTTAGTTTTTACAGTCCCACGTTGGTATTTCAAAATGTGGAAAGGTTTAGGGGGGAAAAAGGGCTCTCTACATTATGTATATACTATAGCTGCACCTGCATGAACATCATAATGTTATTCATACTACCAAACTGAATGAGATACAACAGTAAGTGGGCATACCTGTGGACCACAGGAAAGCTCCAGGGGTTCCCCTGCTGCGACAAATTCTGTTGTTCTTATAAAGAGAGTATGTGAAAGGAAATACGCATGGATGCTTATAAAGAGAGTACGTGAAAGGGCATAATTTCTATCAACTGAAGTTAAACGTATATCAACACAAGAAGTTTTACATAATTATCACGTGTCAGTGTCACACATGAAAATTCCTACTTAATAAACAGAGTTCAAGATCAGCTGATAAATTTTCATGAATCCTTTGATTGTTTGGGTAATCCCAGGACATTTTTCCTCCTGCTCGTATACGGCATTTCTGGGAGCAATACAATGGTATTGAACATGAGGTACATGGGACTTTATTCGCTGGTAGCTCATTTAAGTAGTAGTGGCAATGAGCTTCCCGACAAGGCTTTAATATTATCTGCAAAGCACAGGCACACTTATTTTAGAATCCTCAGAAGAACTGCATATGCCAACTCTGTTGGTAAAAAAGATGCACAAATGATACTTGAATACAACTTGAGCTTCGAAGATAATAAGTTTAAATAAATAATTCCTCTTCAGGAACTTGTTAAGTATTAATCAACACTCACTGAAAGACAAAGAAGATGGTACACCATTCTGCTTCGATTTTTTCTTATGCCTTTTGATGATGAGAATGTACCAAAGGAAATTAAACTGTAGGATACACATCTACTTTTAGTTCCACAATAAATTTTCCAGGGGTACATGTTCTGATTAGACTGTAAAAAGAACATCCCTTCAAAAGATCTCAATCATCTGTACTGCACAGATATGCTAATTGAAGGGAAAAAAGGAGACAAAGCAGTGGATCACACAACAATTTAGTTTCCCAAACCACAACTATAGAGTATCAGGAATGTCTGCATAGAAGGGGAACATCTCTCCATCCAATTCTGTAGCAATTACTTTGATTAATGGCGACTAACAAAAGTGAAGGGGATGAGTACTATGGATTATCAGGAATGTCTGCATAGAAGGGGAACATCTCTCTATCCAATTCAGTAGCAAAGTAATGGCGACTAACAAAACTGAGAAGAATAGCACATATAAAGGAAGTCTCTGTGCATACCATCGAAAAAGGGTCTTCGGTATGTACCAAGGATGCTTGAGGAAGGTCACCTGTTGAAGGCATACCCCTTCCTTTCTCTGGTGTGGCGACACATCGTAATCCTGTTGGGTGCGGTTCATCTCATGGATTACAAGGTACTTTAATTAGGTTGCTAGTACTTGACTTCCCTAACATGACTAGCTTTATTTAGAAAGAAAAATAGAGTCAGTAAGTTTAACCAGCAAAACAAGCTGTAAAGTCAGGAATATCTTAGCATAATTGAAAAAAAGTACAGATTGCATTAAAAGGCTCCACAACATGAGTACACTCAAGATGAGACAATCTGTCACTGCTACATCCTAAGGAAAGTATGAACATCAATCCATCAGCTCAACTCAATATAACGTTAAAAAAAACCTAAATATGATGAAACCACCAGAATATTCCAAGTGAGAATACCATTTTAAGCTGTTACGTGTAAACATGGAGCCATTTTTGTAGCTTTTGCACGTCTCCACGTCTTTTTTTTTTTTTTTTTTTTTTTTTTTTTTTTTTTCTTAGTTTTAATCACAGGTAATACATTAAAAACTTAGGGGGCCCAACGACTACAATATCTTAAGAAACCATCAGGTGATTACTCATCCAGAGTGAGCATTGCACAACGTGATACTAAATAACGGTAATTATCTTACCCAAGATTGTCTTCCACCTGCAAAGATCAAATCATTTTAAGTCAAGTGTGATCCAATTCAGTGTCATATCTGGTACGTCCTCCACATGCACTACCAGCTCGAAATTTTGGGCCAAGATTGTCGTCACCACCACATTTCCAAGTGAGAAGAGATGGGTGAGTTGAAGCTTGAGTTATAATCGTGTTACACACATGACATTAACCGATAGAAGAAGAAAAACATGAAAGGCTATTCCAAGTTCGAATCCCTCTTCTCGGAGAAAAAAAATCCAAAATCACATCTATGATCTTCCATGCAAAAATGACATTCTACTATGGGGGAAAATATAGAAGTTAGAAACCTTTTGTGCTTATATCATTCATCTTCCCCAAAATTATTGCTAGCTAGTTGCTAGTATACCAACTACCGATTGTATCCCTTTAACTTGTATTTCCATGGCAATTGCTATCTCCCTCTCCCTCTCTAGACGAACCTCATCTCCCTCAGGAATTGTATTTCACCATTCCGATTCCGATTTTCAAAGTAATAATAATACTCTTTGAACTTTCTTATCCAAGCAGGAGCAGCAACTGGTCCCAACATTACCCACGATGCACGGGTACATATTTAATTTGATTATAACGATGAAAATATTTAAGATTTTCATCATTGCTACACAAGTTGACTTTCAAAGTGACTCTATTAGGAGATAGCACCATGTGTCTCTCTTATCTTTTCAAATATGGTTTTCGAGTTTCTTCAAAAAAGACCATTCCACTCATTCATCTTCTCTCTATCTTTTCAAATATTGTTTTCGGGTTTTTATTTTTGTGACATTGGTCTTCAGAAAAGACCAATGTCATTTAGGTTCTATCAAAATTTCTATTAAATTGACGACGTGGCACATATATGGTATCCACATATCCAATGAGATAATGCCACGCGGATCTAAATAAAAATATTTCTTTAAAAAATGGTTTAACAATTAAAATATAAAAAAATTAGAAAACTAAATTAAAGAAAAGAAAAAAAAACAAAGAGTGGGTTGCCAAGGGGAGGGCGTTGGCATAGGGGGATGATTGCAGGTATTTTTCTTTTTGTTTTAGTATTTTCTTTTTAAAAAGTAATTTGAAGTTTTAAAATATTTAAAATATATCATTATTTTATTTAAAGTCACGTGGCATTATCTTATTGGATTTGTGGGCACCGCATACATGCCACATTAACAATTTAATAGAAATTTTGATGGAACCTGACGGTATGACCAAATTAATGTGTGAAGTGTAAAGATCAATTATGTCAGAAAATAATTAAATGTGATAATTTCACCAACCTCAGGAACCATCTACATTAACTTTCAATCTAAAATTGACTCAATTTCAAGAGCTTTCTATTGGCACCTCTTTAGAGTCAATCCACACAATCCGGAGAAAACTATATACTTTTGGCTGAATAATAGTTTTCTGCATCATTGAAGAGGAGGCTTCAAGAGTCTCTTATCCCCCAAATTATTCCAACTTTTTTTCAAGGATGATTGATAACAGTTGGTCAGTCATCTTTATCGCAAATAAAGTGGACAAAAAAAAAAAAAAAAAAAAAAAAAAAAAAAAAAAAAAGAAAAACAAACATTTGAAGGTGCAACAAAATAGTACTGGATGCTTGTTCTCTCATACGTTAGATTTAGAGCCTCATTCGCAGGATTGAGGACTCTACGCCTTAATTTTCATTAATTTTCATTTTGTTATGAAAAGAGATATAAGAGCAGCTCCAGCGAAAAAAAAATTGCGTTCCAGCATACAGCCCAAGCCCGGGGGAGGTGTGGGACCCACCAACCCGGGCTGGCCCGAAGGCAGCTTCAGCCCGAGGTCCAAAACGAGGGCTGCTGACGTCAGCGCTACAGTATCCCGCTACAGTATCGCTGCAGTACCCCCACTGATTTGATTTTTTCATGTTGCCACGTGGCGTCATCTGGGCTCTCCGATATGATTTTTTCCTCCAATCCAACGGCAGCCAATTTTTTTTGCAATAAAATACTAAAAAAAATTCGGAAATTTTTTTAAAAATACCCAAAAATTAATGATTTTTTTTTCTATAAATACCTGACTTTTTTAAAAAAAAATTTATCTGAAATTTAAAATTGAAAATTTTATCCGATTATGAGATATGAATAGTATTGACACGTAGGAACCCGAAAATATTATCCAAATTAATTGTGGTAAAAAAAGTTGTGAAAAAAATAAAAAAATGAATAGTAATTGCCATTTGCCATGGCAATGGGTGGAAACGGAAAATATTATTTGCAAGGGCAACTACTATTCACGTGAATAGTGGCTGCCCTAACTCCCCCCTTGCCATGGCTAAGGACAAATGGATAGAATTGCTCTAATAGAAGATGAAAAATTGAGTTTCGTTGTGAGGAATCTTTGTTAGAAAGGTAACATTCTCTCCTCTTTTATTTTAATTTTTTTATGGATAATGAAGACGACGTGTCATTGAGAAAAGATGGAAAGAGACAAATAATACAAAGCATACAAGTCAAACAAACATAATTAAAATGAAGAAAAAAATGCCACACTCAATGACTAAAAAAGTAGGTGGAAAGCATAGTCAAGGTTTCTACCACTAAGCTACAATTACAATTCCTCTTTAATGCTGAAAAGACAGGTATCCTCTCTGTCACAAAGCATTCACATTGATGCAAAATATGCGCAAAGTTTTACAGATTTAAAATTGGATATAATATTATGAAGCAACTTTGTTCCTAGAATAAATGAAATTGACTACACATATACCAACCTGAAATTGCCTCACATCCTAAGCATAGTGGTTAACAACTTCACACGGGTGTGCTTAAATCTCTGAGCAGAACAGGGCATATTGAATGTACAGAAGAAAAGACCCATCAACAAAATATTACAATGAGGAAAGAAACAATAAATGCCAGAAGAATTGGGATGACCCCTCGTCTCTGCATGTGGAAGAATGAATACATGCTACGACCACAGTGAAGGAGGAGTAGAAAATTTTGCTATATCTGACTCCAGCTCTCTAGCATTAGCGAAACTTCATCTCATTCGGTTTGCTGCCCCTAAACGCTGAAAGAGAGAAGAATGACCTTGTTGCTGAAACACACAAAAATAGTACACAGTATTGGAATCTTATATAGGAGAATTAGAATCGGTGCATCAAAATTCTAGTATACAGGTGCAGAAAAGAATTTACAGTAAGAAACAATAGAAAAATGATCATGCATGTATATATTCTAGTCACGTGTGAAACCTTTAGTCGCAGGTGCGTCGCGGCTCTCTTGCAACTTGTGTGAACAACCCTGGCCATCGAATTTGCTAATATTTGATTGAGCTGTATGCACAAACCCACAATGGTTAGAGCATGAGACTCCGCTAGGAATATGAAAGAATATAACTACAGCGTCAACCCCCATTTAAGTGCATGAGTTATTCAGGGGAGGCAAACAATCCAAACAACTATTCTACTCTTCTCTAAATACCATCTGCATTTTTCTACTATCTACTTCAAAAACAAATTAAAGCAAAGGTTGGCTGGGAAAATATAAAAGGAGAAAAAGAAACAAAAGGAGGATGGAATTAAGCAATGAAAAGAGGAAACTCACCAGAGTATAGTTCACGGGCATCATAACCTTCACCTAAGGAAGTCTTCTGCTGCCCATAGTTCCTGGCATTAAGCGAAGCCTTTCTGAGTACACTGTCAGCATCATCTTCTCCTTCAGAGAAAACTGATGGGCTAGACCAACCAGTGGTATTTCCATCTCCTTTGCTCTTCCGAGCAAACTTTAAGAGCCTCTTCAGTCCTTTTGGTGCATCCTTCTGGAACACAATGGACGGAGGATTTTCAGCATTTCCCCACTCAATAGTATCTGGTTCATTACTTTCTTCTTGCAGCATCTGGGACAAAGAATGACGGACACGAGGACTTGACAATCCAGCTGGTGCAACATTGGTTGAAGTGGTAAGTTGAGATGAGCTGTTGTTACATGGGGAAATGGGCTGATGCTCCTCTATTTCTACCCACGCACTTGGGGAGATAGTTGATTCTTCTTCAGCTTGAATTTGCAATGAGGATTCTGCAACATATTTTAAGTCATCATTACCATCAGCAGAAACTGGGTCAACATGCTGTGTCTCACTACACGTCAGGTTATCATTTATCAGAGCTTCTGATTCTACAGCATCATTTGAAAAGTTGACTGGCATAATATCTGGCTCTTCAGGCTGACTCGCAGTCACAGGGCCAGAAGCACTACCAATTACCTCAACTTCTCGAGTTTCAATCAGATTTCTGCTGTTTCTCAAAGATTCCTCTGATTGAGAAGAACTTTTCGTCTTGTTAACAACAGGACCGACACCAGGGCTAGTTCTAGAACCTTTGCGAAGAAATGGTTTCGATTCCACCGGCACTACACTGCTTTTCTTGGTGACCTTGTTGTGCTTTGCTGGAATTATATCAGAAAAATCACCAGAGGTTGTCACCACTTTAGGTTTTGTTGTTTTAGCATTCTTTTTCACTGCTTGCTGCTGCTTCTCATTCACTCCCTTCAAGCTCCTGTCGTGAGTAATCAAGGATTCCTTTACATTCCTCTGTCGCGGCTGGGATCTTCCCACTTTAGAGGTGGGCGGTGTTGGCTTGGGTTTTTGGCGAGTTGGGGTAGTGCTGGCAGAAGAAACCCCAACAGGAGTTTTAGCTGGTGATGCCCCTGTGGCTCTTGGTGTTGGTGTCGATGGCCACGACTTGCGTGTAGCAGGCAAGGGTGATGTTCTAGGCGAAGCCTTCTTTGTAACAGAAGGTTTTGAAGTCTCCTTTTTGAGGTTTGAGGGTTGAGATAATTTTCCAAGTGGTTTTTGGGGCTTCTGCGTAGCACGTTTCTTATCAGTATCATTCGCCTTTTTAGACGACATTTCAGCTTTCCTTTCATCAAGAATTTGCTGCATGGCTTTGATTTGGGCTTCTTTCTCTGCTCGCTTTCTAGAATTCTCTCCTCGTAGTTTTTCATCTCTCTTCTCCTTGTAGTGGTCATAAAAGCCACCTCTCTGCTCAGAAGGAACACTTCGATTTCTGCTAGCTTGAGGCTTTGTAGACTTAGAAGGCTTACGTTCCATCATTTTCATCAGCATCTGGTTCAACTCTGCTTCTCTTTCTCGGCTCCATTCAGTTGATGCTGTTGATTTTTGAATACTTTTCTCTCCCTGAATTACGTTAGTGTCTTGAGCATCAATTGGACTAGAAGAATTTTTCTCAAACCTTTCTTCATTACCATCAAGTTTAGGAGTTTGAATAGTACTTTCACCCGTGGGTAAAAGATCAGACTCTGATTTCACTTCTTCTGAACATGTTGGAGTCTCCCCATTTGCTACATTGCTGTGAGTCACTGGAGCGCAGTCTTCAGAGACAATTTCTGATTGGCATTGAGAGGAAGCCTCCCCCAAACCAGAACTCCATCTTCTCAATACGGATTTATTTGTACTCAAAGAGATATTTGTTAACGAGCTCCTTTTTTGAGCATCTGCAGATTGATCCCTTTGTTTGCTTTCGAAAAGACTTATTGCATCTTGAACACTCATCCTTCGTGCATTATACTCAGTTTTCTTATTTGAGTGTTCAGATTCACCCTCTTCATTAGAAAAAGGTTTTTCCCGAGAAGGATAATAATTGAGGCTCTTAATGGTCAATGCAGCAGCCCTGCGAGATCCAGTTCTCCCTATTTGAATCCTCCTCATTGGAGATGCTGACCTTCTTGGTGTTGCACTTTTCATAAGACTGCGACTTCTTTCTGCAGATGTTTGGTCCTCATCACTTGATTCAGAAGACTCCCCGCTTTCTGTTGAACTCTGTCGCTCAACCTGGGCAGCTTTTGCAGGTGAAACACTATATTTTACTGGTGTAGCAGAATGTATTGGTTTTGATATCTGAGCACACCCATCCGTACCATCAACATTGTCGTTTCTAAAATGGCATGTAGAGGACAACTTGTCATCATTTGGAGGATCACCACTCTTGCTTTCTTGAAACTGCTCTAAAAACTTGCACAGAGAATTCCTGCATTTTACAGTGATATTCCTTTTGTATGAACATTTAGCAAACAAACCTTCACTAAAACTATGGAAGAAAAGGAACATTACATATGTGTACATAAAGACTGTTTCAAAGCAACTAGGAAGCTAAAATACCAGTGCACCTTACATCTATCTAGGTTAGCATCTTACCTGAAATCTCTTGTTCCAAAATGTTGAGAAAAGTCTGCTAAATTTGTGATCTCTTTAGAGGAGCAGGAAACATGAGAAGCCTTGTTAATGGCTCCAGTTAATTCCTTTTTTAATGCTGTGAGCCTCAAGTCCAAAGCCCGCAAAAGTTCGTTCCTGACAGCACAAATTCCTATAGTTTCATGCTGATGCAACTCAAATGAAATCTCAAATGAACAATAAAAAGGACATACTTTGAAGCATCTGGTGATGCAATCTCAACTTCAGACTGTTGACAAGAAATCATACACATTAGTTGCCAGATAACAGAATAGTTATTAAACCATACAAATTTAAACATCAAATTTGAAAGAAGGGGAAAGGGACCTGGCCATATAAAGAAACATGAAACTTTTTGGCTTCTTCCAGTTGAGATATTTCATTTTCAATAGCAGTAATGGTATGCATTACGTCTGGTGAACCAGCAATTTGCAGGAATCTGAGAAGAATTAAAACAATTTATGTATCAGGAAATAGAAAATTAAAATGAATAAACAAAGAGATGATTTCACAACTGAACAATTATAGGAATTGTTGTAGTGGGAAATATAATAAACTGAAGACAAAGGGACGAAAAAAATGAAACACTAGAATGTTTAAAACCTGGTTAAAGTTGATTTCGTGAACCAGGCTGCACCATGCAGGCTTTCCGGAACTTGAAGTTTGAGGTTAGCATTTGACCCCTTACAGTACAATTCATTTAGTTCTGGTAAATGAGGCAACAGTGGTTCTAGTGGCCCGCCCGCTAACTTTTCTACTTCTCCATCACTGGAAACAAGCGCCTCATACCTAGAGCATCCGCCAGCATTTTAGTGAAGCAAATCAGAAATAAAAGGAAACACCAAATAAAACATATCCATTTATTGGTTTCATGGATATGTTGATTGAATCTTATCTCAAAATGACCCTTGTTTAGTTATGAAGTTGTTTAATTTGAATTTCAGCATTAACCCCATTCTAATTAAAATCAACATTAACGTTTCTTAATGTTCAATATATACAGAAAGAATAAGATGCCAATAAGTCAATACAGCTGAAGAATAACCTGTTCTGGGATGGAAAAATCTGAAATTCAGCATAGTCTAAAGGTGTATCAGCATCTATTTCAGCCTCCATTTTCAAAGCGCTAACAACAGAAGCAAAGCAACCTGAATGGGAAAAAAAGGGGAAAAATAATTTAGGGAGAAAACGAAAAACAAAAAAAGATAGTAACAATCAGTGACCTTTGACTAAGTACAGAGAAAGAGAGTGTGCCCAGGCTTCTATAAAGTAAAGAATTTATACTATTCTCATAGGCGCACCGACAGGTGAATTTAAAAAAATTTAACCAAAAAAAGAACAGAAGAACAAAAGACCATGAGAGCATCGTTCCCTCTTTCTCACAAATGCAAGCACAGTTGCTTGCTACATTGCTTATTCATATCAACTCTACAAAAATATAAGATCGTTGGTCAAGAAAAGATACAGAAAAATTAGTCATTGAAAATTCAGATTCAGCTAAAAGATCTTCTTGGTCGAAATTCAGCTGAAACATAAAAATGAATGCAGATCTAGAAAATAAAAGCCCTGTCTCAGCATCGAAATAGAAAATTGAGAACCGAATCAGCCAATGACATGCTCAACACGCAGCAAAGTAGCACACAAATCATCCAACTTTCAATGGTCCACTAAAAAAACAAATCTCAAAATAAAACAAAATTTAAAAAGAAGCTAATAGATAATAATAATAATAATTTCACAAAGATTGAATAAAATTGCTTGATTCTCATTTTCAATGATTTGAAAGCCAAAGCAACAAGTTTAGAATTAGAATAGTAAGTTGGTAACCAGAAAATAAATAAAAACGCAAAATCGAGCAAGTGAGTGAGCGAGTAGATGCTGCGAACTCAAAAGGAGGCAATGTTTACCTTAGCCTGAGAGATCTGCCAGTGCGAGTGAGTGAGTGAGTGATAGAGAGAAGCTCAAATGGCGAAATGTAGGAAGAAGAAGGAGCGTGTGAGAAGAAACAAGCAAAGTCGTCTCAGTATAACAGCAGCCACGGCTACTTCTACTCTCTCTAGTCTCTACACTAATTTAAGACTACAGAGAAAGCTAAAAGCCACCGCCTTGATTGCGTTACAGCCACTTTATACACCGCAACCCAATTTTTCGTTTTTTCTTTTTTTATTTATTTTTACAACACTCTCAATCTAGACATGTCATTGTCATATTCACAATCGTTTATTTTCTAAATCTAAAGAGTTATTCTCTGTCTTTTTTTTATTATTGAAATTCATATTTAACAAACAAAACAACGATCTTAATAATCATTAATGCTCGTAATGAATTATTTACATAAAACAACTATATCATACGTGAATTAGATTAGTTAGACAAGATAGCGTGTTCGTTTTACTAATATAAATTTATTTAGTTTTATTTAAACTATTATTTATATTAATAAATAAATTATTTTAATTATAACATATGCATGATGAAGATTCCTTAATCGCACCGGGTTGATTAAAACACATCTATGTGGTTTACCAAACCAATAAAAAGAAGAGATCTTTGTGGAGAGTATAGATGTCCTCCACTCTACTCCACTCGCGTGATTCAGACGCTCTACTCCAGCTTCTCTTTGTCTGCAAGTTTTTTCCTCTTTTAGTTTTTGGGTTCCAAAAGCAACCGCCACTTGTTTGATTATTCCCACATCACATGCTCGTGTCGTGTTGCTTAAGAAAAATTGAAGGACCAAAATGACAGAGGCAGTAGTTTCCAAAGGCAAATTTATACATGTTCGTCTAGCTTGTCTTCAACAAGACGAAACGGTTAACAAATCTCATCCATATTGTCATCTCTTGTGTCAAATTATAGCATATCTTGCCATGTTACTATAAATTAATTTTGCTAGCAATCAGTGGTCCCCACGCTTGCGTATAATTCTCGTATGAACAGAGAGAAATTGTGAAATGCATCAAATGGGTAGGAATTGTTGAATGCATCAATAGTCAAATTATGTGGACAAATTCTGAGCGTTGATTCATTGTAAGTTCCACTTGCATCAACGAGTCGGAATCATACAATGATCAATGGGAAGGAGAAGCAGAAGAGGACACCTATAATTTGCTATAATTGAACGGTGAGGGGCGGAAGCAGCACAAGCTGCTGCGCAAAGGGATTGGATGTTACCAAATCGCAAGGCTGTCGCCTCCACTCATGCCCGCCATATATGATATGATGGTTAATAGTAGCAAGATATTGCGAGCCTTACAATCCAGGTAAAGTGTCCACACGAACTCAACTTTATCATCAGAGTCGGAGTGAGGTGGGCAAAAAAGAAGCCGAGCCCCCTAAAAAGGGTATAAAAGGTTGTACATGTGCTTGTGGTCACACCAATTCCACTTCCACCATTTACAGCTCCATCAATAGCAACAATTATTGTTGAAGAAAATAGGATAAGACATAAAGAGTGCAGTTAAGCTGGATGAAAATGGCAAACAACAATTTACCATGCTGCGAATTAGATATAAAAAAAAACAAAGATTCGTACAGAGGCAAGCTCAATTCTACATTTATATTACACCACCATGAAAAAGGCACTCTATAAATAAGTTTTCAAGCTCAACACAGACAGACAGAACAAGGAAAGAATTCGGATTTAGGTAAACAGAGGGTTTAATGGTACAAGGGCAATTCATGGTACAGTTGTTCTAGGAAGTCGTTGCAGTGGGGGCAGGCAGCACAATCAATTCAACCATCTAGAAGAACGACAAAGAATCTAATTTTGGGAGGGGGGGGTGGGGGTGTGGGTTGTGGCGGCGGCGGGCGCCATACATGGTGAACAAACTGACTGATGAAACCATTAGTTAGACCATACATGAACTAGACCAAGCCTATTGCCCGTGTAGATCTCGTTCCGCTCTTCGTCGTAGAAGAGAGCAGTAATATCTTCCAAGGCTTCTGCAACTGTACTTCTAATTCTGGATGAAAGGGCCCGCTTCTTTGAATTGCAGCTGCTGCCACAACACTCACCACTACAGCTGCACTCAATTTCCTTGTTGTTGCTTGTTCTTATTTTAGCAAGGCATTTCCCAGTTAAAATATTGCTGATATTGATGGAACCTGCTGCAATAGAGATGCAAACACTGTCAGAAAACCAACGCCTTCTCACAGAAATGATTCTCCAACTTATAATATTGTAAGAGATAAACATTCAAAAAAGCAAGTGTATTCCATCATATATATAAGGAAACAATATTTACCATTTCCTTCAGACAATGGATCATCAGAATCAGCCTTGCAGTAAGAAATAATAAGATCCTGGTCACTAGTAATGTATATGTTATTGGTATTGCAGTCGGGATGCCACAAAAGATGATCCTCAAAAGAAGTTACAAGTTCTCCCCGAAAATTCCAAACAGCCACAGTTCGATTTCGAAACGTCAGGAATAGCTGATTCTCATACAGAAATATAAAGGCTGATGGTGTCATGAACTCAGTTCTGCTAACTTCTGTCAGCTCAAAATTACGAACCTACAGATGTAGCAGTCAGACATACAAATCCAAATGATTTAATAATAATACATCAGCAAGATATACAGAAAGATCCTCACATCAAGAATTTGGAGGTTCTCATTTTCTTGCTTTACAAGAAGCTTTTCATTGAACTGTTCGATGAAATCCACCTTCTTATTCCGATGAAGGAGATGGTTGAAGGATTTGAGAACAGTACCATCCTCTATGGACAGGATCTTAAGAGGAACGTGGCTACTAGCTTTAGTAAAAATTAACAGCATGATTCCAGGACTGCAAAAGAAAGTTGGAAAACAGAAGCAAAATAAATGTCCACTAAACAATAGCAAAAGAAAATACCAGTCTGCGGACACACTATTTAAGAAAAGGAGGCATGTGAAGAAAGCTTACCTAATCTTAATCTCTTGGACATGCTTATCTGATATCGAGTACAACATTGTGTAGTTTTTCAGATCAAACACCTTGTATATGCTGATAATAAAAAAGAACCAAAAAGAAAGTAAATCAAGATCTAGAAGATAATTGTGTATTTGTAATGAAGACCAATAAGACAGAATATTAACTTATCCTGTGCAGAATAAGTGAGAACCTTCCCATTTACATCATCGAACTCTACAAAACCAGGCCATTTCAGTGACTCTGATTCAAAAAGAGCAAAGCCAGCATCTGGTTTACCTCTTCGTATGTATCTGGACAACAAAATTTGACAGTTTCAGAAATATATATATATATATATATATATAATGGGACAATTACACTGTTGTTTCTTTTGGGCCTTTTTGGGGGGGTATGTCGCGTGTATATGTGTGTGTATGGGAGGAGAAGAGGAGGGAGGGTGGAGGAATTTACGTACTCAATCCTAGTGCTTCTGCATTTCAAGGAACTGAAATTGTCTGAAGCATAAACTGAAACAGTGATAAGTGAGTCATTGTTTTTGTTATAAAACAAGCTTCTTATCACTTCATCGGGACTGACATTCAGAAAGCATATTCTCTGGTTGGTTTCTGCATCCAACAAAATAAAAATATTACATATTCCGCTCATTCAACTTTTATAAGTAATAAGACTGGTGCATGCAAGATAAGATTAGAAATAAAAATATTACAGCTACTACCTCGGCTAAATGCTGCACAAACACCAGATTGCGCAAGAGCAAACACAATGTCACGCGCTGCTACAATCTCAATAATTTTTGACCTCTTTCGCAAGAAAGGCAGAACCATGGCACAGTGACCTTTTGGATCATGCGTATCATATTCCTCCTATGCATTTAAATATCACCAGAATCAGAAATTAGGTATTGCAGGCGCACTGACATCGTCAGTGAGGAATCTTTTCACTCATATTTCAAAAGCATGTGTAGTGCATAACTCCATATTCATCGCAATATTAAATCCATTAAGATTTTCAGTATTGATTGTTAGCAGAAACAAATACAGTTTTTACTCAGGAACATGAGACAACGTGACTGCACAAATTGAATCTCCAATCTTGAAACTTACAACTTTCTTACAGTATTGTTGCATATGAGCTTTATTACACAACATGCTTTCAAGTGTTTCCATTAGTAATATGAAGTGGGATCCAAATGCATGTCATATAAGTAGAGCCTATGACAGGTTCGTAGCACTAAGAATTTGAAAGTAGCGGCATCACAAGTATAAAGGCCCCATGTTCAAATTAAACAGGAACAACCAACTGAAGACCGAAGCATATTGTTAACTGAACGCCACTGAGTGCTCCTAACACCCACAAATTAACAATAGGAGGGGATTTCAGCTTACCATAGTTTTTGGGGTAAGCAATATTCTATTTTTTGTCTCTAGGGAGCTTGAAAAAGTAACAATCGAGCTATTGAGCTCACATTTCTTAACAGTGAATAGAAGGACTGAACAAAATTAAGGAATGCACGACAATAATTGACAACAGAGTCCCATCTTTTTCAATTTTCTGTGAGAGGATCTATCATCCTAATAATTTAACAACAAAACCCACTATTTATCTTTGGTTTTTGAACTTAATGAAAATCAGCACAAGTGCTAGAGCTAACCACAACCACCTAAGTACGCAGAAGAGGTAAACAAGCATCAAAGCCCCAAACTTTCCTTCAATAAAAAAAATCAAAAGAAGGAGCAGTACCTGGAGGCGAATATTGCGAAACCTCTCTTGGGCATCGCTCATAGTGAAAGCACGGTCACGCTTGGAGCTGATTTCGCGCCTCTGAAGCTTCTTAACGCTGTTGACGAACCCATCCACGCCACCAACACGAGGTCGTTTCTTCGCTACCACCCTCCTACCATTGCAAGGCCGAGGACTTGCCGATATTCTCCTTCCCCCTTCCATCAATTCCTCTCAGAAAAACCCAATACACTCACTTCAGACTTAGAACCAGACTGTAACACATATTTTACTACTCGTCTTCCTTTTCAATTACACAATTTGTGATCTTCTGTAGCATCGCATCGCATCGCATAAACCCTAAACTATGAGAAAGCGAATTGGGGACGAAAAGCCTAAGGCTTTAGCTGCAGAGATACCTATACACCTCTAATTTCAGAGAAAACACAGCGTCTCTCCCTCTTCCTCTGTATATGAAGCACTCAAAGCTCAAGCTTTGTGACGGAGAGGGAGATTTTGTTGTCGGATTGGGATGATGAGTGTCTCTTCTGTCTAGCTCTGATCCATTTTCAAAAATCTCTTTGGAAAATTGACGGCAAGTCTCGACGGTGGTTTATTGGGCTTTCAAATGAAATTAGGCTCAGGAGCTAGACAGAAATTTTGGGCCTAGACAAGGCTACCAAATGAAGCACTTATAGCCCAACTAGAAATTGGTTTTTCTTTTGGTAAACAAAAAGTATTATATTCTACAATTTAATAAAGACCGTCCACTGCCTGGCTGGACCAGTGGACCACCATTCTTTTTATTTTTGCTCTTTTCTTTTGTTGGAAAACTGATTGTTCACAACAGGGCCCTCACTTTTCAATATTACTACAGGTGAAATTGGGCAATGTTCCTTTGATGTGCTCCTTGAGCATGGGGCAAGATGTTCGATAAAATTCTTAAAATAGGTTAAGACATGGTATGGTACGCTGAACTATGTAACATGATGTGCGGGCATTAAGAAGAAAAATTGCTAGATCCTCCACGAGAAATGTTCCTAGACTCTCTTCTTTTTATGTTACATTGGAGGAAAGAAACTCCACTGGAATTTGATTTTGGATGCGGAGAAGGAGAATCCACCACTACTGATCCACTGTGGTGGGAACCCATTGACGTCTCTTTAAGACTTGTACCGGTGGGACTTTAGCAAAACCTACAAATACCTTACATTCTCCATATATTTGGTGATATAAGAATACGTACAATGCATAAATTGCAAATTTTGGTGTAGTGTAAAAGTTAGGGATTCAAACTCAAAACTAATTAGTAATGAAATGAAATGCGTACAACAGTATTGATGCGACACATTCTTTTTAATTCTCGATGTGAAATATAATATCAACAAGTACTCCACTTTATCCGGTGGACATAGCCAGATTCCAAATTTCCAGTGGCCTTAGCTCACATAAGTTTAACCTGACGAACTGACCATTCAGTTCACTGGGCTAAGTTCTTTGTGTTTCGGAAGATGGTGGTGGATCCCTCACCATTCTCTCTCTTTGAAGGTTGTATGGCTCTCAATTGTTCACAAGAAGTGGAAGGCTAGCTAGCTGGAGTCTGGACCTCTTGTCTTGAAAGTGGATGACTACCTAATTCACCAAGAACCCCAATCTGTCTGCCGGACAACTATGGGTACCCTTATGGGGCATTTTCAGATTTTTTTCATCCCCACAATCCTATGTTTCAAGGACGGCACGGCGCGGTCCCTATTCTCACTTTCTACATGCACTCAATAATGCATAAGATTGAAGCATCCTATAATTGTCCTAGAGCCAATAGTCATTGGCTAACAGTCTCCGGCGCATGGTTGATTTGACTGTTGATGTTTCGTTAACCCCACATGCATCAACGGCCAAAATCACCTCAAGCGCATGCGCGACTGACTTTAACTTAACAGAAAAGAAGAGTTAGCTAGTGTTTTATTTTGTTTTTTTAAATCTTGGCTTTCTTCAGGTCTTGTTTATGCGCACCACACGATTATGCAAAGCCAAGGCAGCAAGTGCAATTGGGGCATAATAAGTATATAAGCCTCGCCATCTTGTGACGTCCTGACAGTTCAATTTCAATGACAAGAAGACAGTTTCAAAGCCTTTCAAACACAGATTAGTTGTAAATAACAATAAATAAATAAATAATGGAAGTTTAGTCACATCGGTGGTCCAGCAGATTATTGAGAGAAACTGAAGTGGTCCTAAGTATATTTAAGAAGGAAGATTGAGGATCTTTTTCTTTTTGTGAATTTTGGGACCCCAAAATTCAATTCATCGTCCTCAGAGAGAGAGAGAGAGAGAGAGAGAGAGAGAGGGACCGTCTCTCTAACTCTATTAGCCCACTAGATTACTGGCTCATCGTCCTGTGCCACTGACAGCATCAAACCCTAGTTTGACCCAGATTGTCGGCATATTGAATTATACCATAAAACGCCACCTTCTCCAATCACCATCTCATCCTTTCCTTCATATTCCCTGCAATATATATTGAATTATGAGTTTCTGCAGATTGAGACACTCCTATATATTGCTACTCAAAATTAAGTTACTGTTGCATTCTACTTTAGGCCAGTCGGCCATAACAATGAGTCCGTCCCTTTACACTCAAGTTCGGATCTCCTTATTGTAGATTAGAGTAGTTTTAAACTCACTTTGTATTACAATACAATTTCTTTTACAAGGTTACTGTTCATAAACTTGTCCATTTGTATTTCTTAATGTTACTAGAACCCCCTGCTCACGTTCATGTGCCTGTTCTTTTACCCTCAACATATTTAGTCCAAATACATAGTTAGAGAGAATTTACTTTTGATCAATTTGTCTCAAAGTCAACATTTCACATTGGCCACCCAATTTGATCCATTAATTCAAGCAAATATATGGTTCATGCACTTCTGATGAACTGAAAGATATTGTATTATAGAATCCACATGCATGTGCGTGCTATATATAGTGCTTGTAGATGGATTAGTTTTTGAGATAAGAACTCTTCGTATATAGGAAAGCATACACATATGCTTGCCTTTCTTGGCCGCCTTCTTCTATCTTTCTCTTTTTTAGTGGAAAACTTGTGCATATTGCATTATATATATATATATATATATATATATATATAGAAATATAGGGGAAATGATCGTCAACACCCTATTCAAAGTTACCTTTAAATTACATTATGAAGAAGTTGGTGTGATGAAAATTTGGCGTGTCAAATCATCTCATATTTATATAACAGGTGTTAAACGTGGGTTTGTTGCAGTAATGTTGAACCATTCACACTAATATTATAGAACTTTTAGCCGAAATGGGTCCTCCTCCCTCCTCTCTCTTGACCTCCCCCTAAATATAGTAAATCTTTCAGCCTTTATACACGCAAGCTAGACGCATATATATTTATTTGTGTACAGTATATGTTATCAATAATGCTAGACATATCAATTTGTATACCAAATATCATTCAATTATGTGCTAGTTTAGTATATATGTCAATATCTAGCTTGTCAAAAATAGAACGAGGAAGTTCAGAATAGGCCCATATTTGAATCAACGATATATGTCAATATCTAACTTGTCAAAAATAAGAACGAGGAGGTTCATAATGGGTCCATATTTGAATCAACAATATAGTGACAATCATCTAGAGAACAAAATTGGTAAATGTAGCATTATTTCTACTTATATTTAATTGATTTGTCCGCAAGTAACTTTGATAATGTTATCGTGTCACACAGTCTGACATATTATGCTGCAAACCTATTCTATTTTGTATAGATTCATGTAAAAGCACGGGTTACTCAATGTAGTCTATATATATCATATGACTAACAGGTAGCTACAAGAAAAACCAGTGAAGACTTATAAGAGAGAGAGAGAGAGAGAGAGAGAGAGAGAGAGAGAGATGGAGGTCTCTTTTGTGTTGAAACTCCTTTCTTCCCTGGCTGCCGCGGGACTGGTTGGCTTCTTACTTCACCTCTACAACAGAGTGTGGCTAAAGTCCGAGAGGCTCAGAAGAAAGCTCCGAGTGCAAGGCATCAAAGGCCCTGCGCCTTCTTTTCTATATGGGAATCTGTCTGAGATGCAGAAAATTCAACACCAACTCCCCAACACTCCAAACCACTCTGAGTTTGTAGCCCATGACTACACCTCCACACTCTTTCCCTACTTTGAACACTGGAGAAAACAATATGGTATTAAATTTTAATCCTTTTTTTCTCCCTCTTTTTTTACTTCCTTTTAACATTTCTCATGGCATGTTATATATATTTATTCACAAACACATGTACATATATTACATATAAACAGTGTGATTTGGAAAGTTGGCAAAAGGTTTTTGGCCAGCGAAAATGGATAGAAATCTGAAACAGAAACGAAGGGAAAAAGAGTTGTCTGCTTGGGAGAGAAAGGGGTTTTGGTGGTGGGGGTGTGGTCAAGTTTTTCCAGCTCAGTCAATGGGATTTGGCAGAATCTTGGATAATAGAAATGTATTCAGATGCTTGGATTCTCGAGTTTAACTAGTTAAATATGTACTTAAGGAAAGCCATGTCAAAGTCTCGGGGCAATTTGCAATTGATTACTGTGTAATCATATTATGTTAATATAATTAATTAGCACAATTTAATATATGAGGGGAGGCAAGACAATGACTACTTTTAATGATATTTCAAACTAACAAAAATAAATAAATATATTTTTATAAGACCATATGATGATTGGAACATGGGAGGGCCGCATATAATATAGAATTGATGATTGATAATCTAACACAAAAAATAAATATTATTCTTTAGAAGTGTGAAGATACAAAATATTTTAATGGAACACGCATTATGTTTTAAATTTTTGGATGAAGATTAATTAATTATTATAATGGTGACCCATCCCATGTTTTTTTTATTTATTTAAAAAATTTGATTGATAGACTCGAGTTTAAAAAGCTAGCAGCTGCTGGGTTTGGGCAGATTAGACTCAAAAGTCCAAAACTATAGCTGACCCATTCTGGCCCATCATATAATCAAAACACTAGAATGGGCTTCATTTGTGTGTGTGTGTTTTAATTTTATCATGGGGTCTAGCCCAATGAAAAGGAGTCTTGATTTGTAGACAGTGGTTTCATGTTCGAATCCATATAGCACCCGTAGTGTGTCTGGGTCCCTTCACCTTGTAAGTTAGACTATCGCTTACAGTCATAAAATTTTATTTTATGTGAATGTGTTGCAGGTCAAATATACACTTACTCAACAGGAATGAGACAACATTTGTATGTGAACCAGCCAGAGCTAGTAAGGGAAATGAACCAGTGCATGAGTTTGGACTTAGGCAAGCCTTCTTATGTAAGCAAGAGGCTTGCACCCATGCTTGGCAATGGCGTTTTGAGGTCCAATGGCATTGTCTGGTCACAACAGAGAAAAATCATTGCCCCTGAGTTCTTCACAGACAAAGTCAAGGTAATTAATTAATTAAAAATTAAAATTGGTCCAAAAATTTGTGAAACAACGTTAATTGAGAGAAATTAATTGATAATTTTGTGGCAGGGCATGGTGTGGCTGATGTTAGAGTCAGGACAGACATTGCTTCAAAAATGGGAGGATTGCATTGAAGCTCAAGGTGGTATGACAGCAGAGATTCAAGTGGATGAGGATTTCAGGGATTTTTCTGCAGATGTTATATCAAGAGCTTGTTTTGGAAGCTCTTATATAAAGGGCAAACAGATTTTCTCAAAGCTTAGAGCCCTTCAAGAAGTCATTTCCCAGCAAAATTTCCTGTTTTCTAATTTGGGGTATGCAAGTTTAACACTAGTTAACAATGTACTTTGGCTGTGTTAAATATTTTTTTATTAATGGCTAATTATAATGCAGTGGCTTGAAGAAGCAAAATGAGATAGGGTGCTTAGAGAGAGAGATAGAGTCATTGATCTGGGAGGCAGTGAGAGAAAGACAAGGCTCAGAGACATCTTCAGCCGAAAAGGATCTGTTGCAGACAATACTAGAGGGAGCCATCAATGACCAAAGCCTAGGCAAAGGTTCATCCAAGCGCTTCATAGTTGACAACTGCAAGAGCATATACTTTGCAGGCCATGAATCCACAGCTGTTGCTGCCTCTTGGTGTATGATGCTGCTTGCTCTACATCCCGAGTGGCAAGCTCGAATTAGGACAGAGTTGGCTCAAGTTTGCCCAGATGGCCTCCCAGATGCAAACTCACTCCCTCAGTTGAAAACGGTACAAGTTCTTGCATCAATCTGTATGCTCATTATAATTTTGTTGGATGTAGGGTACTTTCCTGATGCCAAATTGTGTTGTCACTACACATTCGAACAAAACTACTTTATTAAAACCAACAATATCTGAAAACGTAACATGCTAGACTGTCTTGTCTAACAACATAACATGTCATATTGCCATGTCTAGCAACATAACATTTCCCGTTTGAGTATAAGTCGTTGACATAACCCTGCATACATGCATACACCGTTGCAGATGGCTATGGTAATTCAAGAAGTCTTGCGTTTGTACCCGCCGGCTGCCTTTGTGTCAAGGGAGGCACTTGAAGATACCCAAGTGGGAAACATCAGTGTTCCTAAAGGGGTATGCTTATGGACTTTGATCCCAACATTGCACAGAGATACAGAAATTTGGGGACCTGATGCAAATGAATTCAAGCCTGAGAGGTTCATAGATGGTGTGTCTAAAGCTTGCAAGTCTCCCCAAGCCTACATCCCATTTGGGTTGGGACCTCGAATATGTTTGGGGAAAAACTTAGCCATGGTTGAATTGAAAGTTGTCCTCTCCCTTGTTATCTCCAAGTTCTCTTTCTCTCTGTCTCCCAAATATAAGCATTCTCCTGCTTATAAAATGATTGTAGTGCCTGGAAATGGTGTACATATCCTCATTCAAAAAATCTGTTCTTGACAGATAGAAACAAGTCCAAAATCATTGAAGTAGCTAGCTAGTTGTCTATTATTGTTCGAGTTATATGTATGTCATGTTTGCCAAATTTGGGATATTGGAATGTAAACAAAGCTTTTTTAAAAATTATTTGTTTTAATATTATTTGATGTTATCTTTGTTATTTGATGCATACATAGAAAATAAATGAATTTTTAAAATCAATAATCATGTTTTAACCAAATAAACAATTCAGAAATTGAAAGATTCATATCAAAATAGGAGAATCTACACCGAAAAAGAAAAAAAAGTGTAAATAAAAAAAGAGGAAAACTTGAAGAACTCGTACCAAATTTATGAGAAACATCACATTAGACTGTTGAGAAGACACCATTTGCAAACCGCGATTCTACGTAAGCTTCTCTCCATCTTCCTCCTTCAGTATGTTTCCTGAAATCTACAGAGATGAAAGGTGTAGCACCGTCCTCTTTTACTTCACAGACGAAAATGGCTTCAGAGTCAGACGCAGAAGGAGGAGGTCACAGTGACCTATCAAATTTATGGACTTTTGTGGTCCTCAAGCCTCCCTCCAAACAAAGAAACACAGTAATTTTCCCAAAAATCACTACTTGGGAGAAACTGCAAAAACTTTTTATCAGTTAGTTATATGGGTCCAAGAATTCTGGGCTCGTCGTCAGTGAATCTTTGTAAGACAACCCCCGAATTCCTTTTTTGGTCCCTCTATCTCTCATGGGTTTATATTCACTTTTACCATAAACAAGTTTCTGTAAGTGCTCGACTTTTTATTGTTGCAGTGAAAGTTGATGATGATGCCAGAAATCTTCTTGAGCAAATGGGTTCCAGTAATCCAGGGTCGAAGGCTATTGGCATTGTTTCAGACTACCATAAATATATGTCCAATGGTTGAAGAAGCGGATACTGGTATGTCTGCTTCTGCATTTTATTGTTTTTGGACATAGCTCTGCCTCTGTCACTGCTTTTTCATTAGAAGGGTCATTATTCAAGTGTTGTTCTTAAAAAATAAAATAAAAAACTAACGTACTTAATCTTGAGCTTCATGAATTGTTTCTTATTGTTTGATTATAGTATATACCAAATGGACAAGCCTTGTTAAAAATGATTTGCTAGCTCAAAGAATTGAGGCCAAGACATTATCACAAAAAATAAATACGTCATGAGCCAGGTGGTGGTATACCTGCATATATGGAGAAAGTGCTGTGGTATAATCAAGAGCTTCTTAAAAACTGATAGTCTATTAGTTCTAAACTCTTAAGATTGAAATATTTTGGGAAATACACAGGAGTTGGTTGGCGGTCATCAAGTGTTTCATTTACTAATTTACTCCAACAATGTTATAGAGGATGCCACATTATTCATACATCATATCTAAGCTAGTAATGTGTTTTTCTTTGAATTCTTTCATCAAGAGACTTACTTACTAGTTGCCATAATAGTGAAAATTTGCTTTATAAAGGCTTCGGCAAAATGAAGTCAGAAACATATGGAAATGAGACGAAGTTATAATTTATAACTCCTTGTTTTATTTTTATTTTTACATTTTTATCAGAAAAATAAAGCTCTTATTTATTTCAATCACTTTGGTTACCACAGTTCACAAAAGTAAATTTGAGTCTATGTATTAAATTTTGGTTTTAACCATGCATTTTTACTTAACCATTACTGTTTTGCCAGATGGGGCCAACGCCGCTCCATTTGTTCTCCAGAACACAATTTTCAGGCTAATCTCTTCATGCACTGGGAGGCCTGTCCTAGTCATTATGTTCTCATGTCTAAGTAAATCCACCAAGATTACCTTAAATGGGTGAAATTTATTAAGTTACTTTATAAATGGCCTTCTTAGGGTTAATAGTGCTCTATTGGAGCATCAGTCGGGATTTACATTATCGAGGCGGAGGTCCTGTAAATGTTTTCACTGCTCGGTTGCTTGAAGGAGGTGCAATTGGTAATGTTCTATTGCTTTTCTTTTTTGAATGTGAGTCTTGCATTCTGCCTTCTGTCACTACTTGCACCGATCTTTACAGTTTGGCGTTTTTTGATGGCCATGGGAGAAATCCAAGAAGAGAAATTGCAAATTTTGATTGCTCTTAGATAGCCTTTTTATGATTTTGTATATTGAAAAACCATTTCTTGCTGCCATCACCAGGATAGAAAGGGATTGAAGGTTTACCCCTGATTAATCATTTTTAGTAGATCAGTTGCACGGATATCAGCTTTCAATCGAGGTAGGTTGGTGGTAGGCAAGTCCAACTAAAAAGGAAAAGAATTGCTAATAATAATAAAAAATATAAGACTAAGAAAATATTTTTAGCCCTTTTTGAAGGAATATCAACTTCATTGATTTTTTATTCTTTTTTATATCAAATGGTGCTTTTTCTCTTTATTTGATTTTCTCCTATCATTTAGTTGTGGTTGTCATCCATTTGTGATATTGATGTGTTAAGATTTGGTCACTTTGAGAAGCTTGTTGTGGTTGGTACAGAATTGATGGATTTGTACTAGACTTGGAACTAGTTCATTGATATCAATAATGTTATGAGTGATACAAAAAGAGGAATTGTGTTGGTATCAGATCCTCAAGCACACTGGCTTGATATTATAGCTAAACCCAGAGTAATAATACATTGGCGTCTGATCCAACTATGTTGTGAGTGATAAAAAAAGTGAGGAATTGTGTTGGTATCGGATCTTCAAGCACACTGGCTTGATATTATAGCTAAACCCAGAGTCATAATACATTTGGCGTCTGATACAAGTCCCAACACCTAACTGCTTACTAGATTGTAAAACAGTTGGTACCCAAGGGGAGAAGTCGAATTACGGAAGAAGGGAGAAATTGGATACTCTAATTTGGTTAGAAATTAGAATATCCAAAGATTGTAGGGTTTGGCAGGGGCCCCCTGTTTCAAATCCAAGTCCATGAAGCAGGATTGGAGGATTTCTGGGTATCAAAATAAGAATTGGTTAGAAATTTTTCTTGTAGAAAAAATAGTTCCATTGATTTAGCAATATTATGAAGAAATATACAAAATAGGAACAAGAACATGTGCTTTGTATAAATATGTAGCCCATCATTCTGTATATATTTTTCTTCATCTGTCCTTTTTTTTGGAAAATTTGAAATATATGGTGGTGGTAGTGGTTGCTTTGCAATGATGTGCACTAATAAATGCATAAATAGGTTGCATATTGTTCTTTTAGTATATGTATTTTACTAGAATTGGAATAGAAAGTGGCCTAATATTCTATCTTCTTTTAGGAGATTGAATTACTAATAAGAAATTTAGCTGATGAAAGTTCACATAATTACTAATAAATTATTTGGCAGAGTAAGATGATAGGGTTTACTTTTTTGGTTCGTATTTATTGTGGAACTCACATGTCTCAGTTGAGTTATGCTTGAATTTGTTTTTCTATTGCATTTTAAAATCTAAGATCAGGTGGCATCAGTTTAAAGAAAATTTTCAGATTTTTGCTTGGTGATTATAATGAAAATCAGATTTTTGCTTTAGTTCTATGAAAATTGTTTTCAATTTGGCTAAACAAAAGTGTCGTTTAAAACATTTTAGCATGAAATGAAAACAGGTTTTCAAAGAATTTAACTGAAATATGAAAATATTTTCCATTTCAGAAGCAAAGAGTATTGCTGAGAAATGGTTATGTGAGATTTCACCCAATTTCTATTTCTCTTTACATTTCTGTATAGTTTGTCGCATGAGTTTTGAGTATGTACCAGTAACCCTTTACCCTTTTACTGAAACTAATTCTATTTGTGGCATCTCATAGCATTTCGGTTTCTCTTTTTTTTTCCTGTCACTTTTATTTTCCAAGATTACATATATTGTACATGAATATCTAATAGCTTTCCTGAACTTTCCATGTTTCATCGCTAATATTTATCACTTGATTTGTGGAACAGTAGGGGACATTCAATTGAGTTACATTGTATTGTAGAAGTTTGTATCTCATAGAGGTGATTGTGGAAAATAACAAATAACAATAGCAATTATGTGGAGTGGTGAACGTAGAAGGAGTGCACGAATACTTGAACTGGAAGCAAAAAAGACTCAGAATAAGGGCAAGGCGAAATGTGATGCAGCCAGGGATGTTGTTACTGAAGATTCCGACCTGACGCAGAGAAGAAAAAAGGTTAAGAGTACACCCGTCCAGGATCTGGTTGCAAATACAGTTGAGTATCAACTGAAAAAAGAGGTGTGTACTAAACAAGGCTGTGAAAACTGGAACAGTAATTGAACAGGAAGTGGAAATGTTGATCTGTTGCTTTGTCATGACAATTAATTGAATATTTTGAGTTTTTTATTTTTTTTATCAAGCATAAATTCTTAGTGGTAAACTTTGGTAGGCACTCCACATTCTTTTTCTACATACTTCATATATATTTGAGCTATTTTATTTGAATGAAAGGACAGGTTTATTCATTATAATTTTGCACTGGTGTTACAATTTTTTTCTTTTTTCTTCTCCTTTTTGGCATAAATGCAGGCTGGTAATTCGAGCAACGAAGACCATTGTACAAATGATGGTGAGGGTGTTTCATTTTTTTTCCTTTAAATTTTGAATTGAAATTTACTATATCTATGTTAGGATGGCAAGGACTCATTAATTCATTATGTCCTGTCTTAAATCAAACAGTTTCCTTGTCATCTGGTACTGTGTTACCAGAAAGAAGGAAGCTGGAACTGCTGCTTGGTATATTGAAAAGGTAAACACTTGGTTAGACATTTTTCTAATTTCGTTTTTGTTGTTATCCACGCAATAATTGATTGAAGTGAAGTATTTTTGTTTTCCTCCTAGAAGCGATTGTGCTCTTCTTTATTGAATTTCTCATCAAGGAAGTTAATGCCTTATTGTTTTTAACTTTAATTATAGGAGAGACTTACACAATCTATTTGCAGAGGCAGTAAATCCAGAAGAGGTTTGTCTACTGTATTTATGGTCTATCCAAATATGTATACCGTTATAGTTGCTTATTTATAGTTCTTCATGTAAAAGGTTAAAGACTACTATGATATCATTAAAGAGCCAATGGATTTCGGCACGATTTCAGCAAAACTCAATGGACAAAGCTACAGAACACCTGAAGAATTCGAGGTTTGCTCCTAGACTCCATGGTTCTCTTCTTGTTTTTCCTTTCAGTAAAGCTGGGAAGAGAACTTGTTTTTGAGACTTCTGTATCTAATACTCATCTCCCTTTTTTATGTTTGGTGAAAATTTGAGTGTATATGCACGTTTGTTTTGACTTTAAGCGGCTGGGTTGGTTCATTGGTTTCCTCACCAAATTTAGTTTTTGGCATGCTATTTTTTTTTTAGTGAGGCATGCTAGTTTTATAGTTGTAGGAGTATGAAACAAACTGCTTTCCATCACATTTGTGATTGTAATTGTAATATTTGGTAGATTAATGTTGATAGTTATATATAAAGCTATCCCTTTAGTTCTGATGATTATTTGGTTAACGTACAGCATGATGTGTTTTTGGTATGGAACAACGCAGTGCGTTTCAACTTGTCAACAACCACCTATTATAGACAGGTAAGTCCATTAAGCACTGTTGTTATCATCAAGGTTGGCCAACTGTTTATGCTCTTGAAATCTACATTTTCTCCTTATTATACTGAGATTTATGGTTTTTCAGGCTTGTGCTATAAGAGACCTAGCAGAGCGGTTGTTTGATGCTTTGAAAAATGACCCTGAGAACTTTGAAAGTAGCCATTCCATGACAAGACTGCGAGCCAGTAAGAGGGCTAAGACTGAAGTGAACATTCAGAATAGTTCTCACAGGTCAACAAATGGGATGGCTTCAAAGGGTAGGTCTACGTCCAAACAAGATACATAAGCATGCCCTATACTTCAGAACTTACATTTTGCCAAAGTGATTACAAAGTAATAGAGAACTCTTAACTCGCTCGAGAGATTGACTTATCCAGTATTCTGCATGATCTTGTAATTGAACACATTAATGCACGTGAGTCAAGTGCCTGTATGAGTTTTACAGTTTTGGTTATTGTAGGCTAATAACCTCCTTACCAGATCACTGACAGTGCCTTTTAGCATTCAATATAGTTGAACTCATTCTCATTTCATTTCTCCCATAAACAGTCTGTAGAGGTGAAAGAAGTTCTGAGCATTCTGAAGTAGATCAACATGAAACCTACAGGCCTCTGAATACACTCCCCACTATGAATGAGTCAATGGAGTCTACAGTCTATTGCAGCTCAAAACAACTTGTGCAGGTGAGTAATGTCTGTGTGCAGTGCAGTGGAGCATCTGCTCATGGGTGTATCTTAAGTAGTTGTCCCAAACTGATATAAAAATGAAAAATTGTCTCAAAGAAAAATACATGTATGCATTCATGTAAGCTGAACCTTTATTCAACAGCAACCAATCCAAAGGCCTGTAATAGAAAAGAGGACTGAGCTTTAAGGTCTTATTTATTTGTGTAGTCCGAGTTGTCTGTACTCGCATATTGATTACTTGTCCTGGCTTTGTAGACTAAGCAGAATAGTATTGGATACCAAGAAAGCTTGATGCAGTTTGTTGGGCCAACAGCTCAAATGGTTGCGGAGCACAATTCCACAAAAGGTGCTGAAGATCTTAATCCTCACAATGCAACTTCCAACTTTCAGTGCCGAGCTCCAAGTCAAATTCTTAATGTGGCATCATCTCAAATGGTTGGGCCAACAGCTCAAATGGTTGCCGAGCACAATTCGGGAAAAGGTGCTGAAGATCTTAATCCTCATCATGTGACTTCAAACTTTCAGCATCGAGCTCTAGGTCAAATGCTTAACATGGCATCACCTCAAATGGTTGGGCCAACAGCTCAAATGGTTGCTGAGAAGAATTCAGACTTGATTTGGCAGCAGTTCAAAAACATTACCGATCTTCAAACTGAAGATCTTAATCCTGATAATGCAACTTCATACTTCCAGTGTCGAGCTTTAGGCCAAATTCATAATGTGGCATCAATTAATTCTTACAACACCAATCCCTTATCTGGGAGTTCCTCCTCTATGAACTCCTTATTTGGAGATGGTAAAGGCAAGAATGTGTTGATAGCTGATGTGCATGCCTCCGATCTACGGAGGGAAATTGAGAAGATTCATGGTCCATGGCCATTTTGGTCTGCAGCGCAGCTTCCCCAGTTTGTTTCTGGACCAAGTCCGAGTCCAGCCCTGGGCCCAAGTTATCTTGGAGGTGGAGCACATCAGTTTCAACCAGTGGCTGGTAGAGGAAGCACACACTATGGAAGCAATGTCGAGCAGGCAAGCCAAGGTTTGAATTTGTTTAGGCCAACGGAGTTAGGGCCACAGCAACCTTTCTTCAACAAGCTATTTGAACAGCAGAGTCAGAATACGTCAACCTCTGGAACCAGCAGAAGTGCTATAGAGTTATCAGACATAGATGAATGGTTAAGTGTTGGTCCTCGTCGAGACGGATCATCAAACACCCGAGCTCCTCCAGCAAGCGCTCAGGAGCAAGCTGCCACCGCAGGAACCGACAACTTCCCATGGACTCTTCGCCTCTGAGGAAGGCTTTATGAGTACTTTACATGAATAAACATGTTTTCCGTAGTTTCGTATGTTTCTTTCCTCAGAACATGAGACCTTATTGCTATCCTTTGCTTTTATGAACTAATGGTGTGATGAAGTTGCTTTTGTTTTTTGTTTTTCCTATAAAATCCATGTCCTGCTGCTTCCAATTGTGAACTTTTGATTGATAATATTGTCTTGACTGAGGAGAGTAGCTTTGATTCATATTCGTAACCATACACATTGGTTCACAATCTCACTATAAAAATTTGTATGGAGATTGGGGTTTTCCATGTCTTCTTGTTCAAGTCTTTTCAAAAAGTTGGACCTATTAGCTATATGGCAGAATAGCAGAATCCGGGTCGGTTTAGTCGGGTACGGGTTTAGACTGAAGCATCAAATCTCTTTCAGGTTTTTTCTGTAAAAAAATTTCTTTACTGAGCGCGCTGGGCCGCGGGAAAGGTCTAAGAAGAGGATGAACGAAGATCGAACCGTACAAATGGCAGCAATCTAAAGGTTTAGCTAAACTACTGTCGTCTAGCGCAAAAGGACCAATTGGCAATTTGCTAATAGTTTCGAAAAAGACAACAGACAGACCTTGGGGTGAATTCGTGAATAGGTAAAATAGATAGTGGCGTTTTCACCCTACTATGTCATGAAAACAGTAAGGGCATTTTTGACTTTTCGGATTTCATTTGGATTTTGCAAACCATCTTGCAAGTTTATGAGTTCAGGAACACACTCAACAACATTATCTTCCATTCCAGAGGACGAACGATTCACAAAAAATTGCAGAGAGAGAGAGAAAGACAAAAAAATGGAGATTAGTGCAGCTGCAGCTACAGCAGCAGCAGCCGCTATGCCCATGCATGTAGTAGAGGGTCACACGACCAAGAAAACCATGGAGCTAAAATGGGTGAGCAGAAGAAGCAGCGGCGGAAAAATCCAAATGGAAAAAACCATGAAAACGCCATTAGAATCGAAACCAAAAGCACCAGCAACCCTGCAAGCCCTGGTCCCAGTTTTCATATCCACAAACCCATCCCACGTGAACCCAGATGACCTCAGTGACCTTTTCATCGCGTGCAACCTCTCATGCCACCGTTTCCCCAATTACGTGGACGCCGGCGGTGGCCGCTGCGTCGTTGAAGCTGTGGACTTGCACAAGCTGCGCATCGCTCTCTCCCACAGTTCAGTCTTGGTCTCAGTCTTCTGCAAGCCAAATGATGTGATTGGTTGCTCTTCATCATCTTCATCATGTTTGAAGGAAAAGCAGCAGCAGCAGCAGCAGAAGAAGAAGATAGTGGGTTTTGGAGAGTTGTTGCAGAATGTGGTGATGCCTGTTACCCCATTGAACAGTCAATTGGTTGGCTTTGGGCGTGCAGTTTCTGATCTTGGACTCACTGCCTCCATCTACGATGTCATGGTATATATCAATAAAATCAAATTGGTTTTGTGATTGGTCTTCTTCTGAGTATAATTTCCAAGAGAAAGTGTTCAACTTGGGAAGTATTGATATAGATATGCTTCAGTGTCTTCCAGGTGCTTCCTTCATTGCGGGGAATGGGAATTGGCAGGATGATAGTTAAAAGAATCATAAGGTTCACTATTCTTTCTTTATTTTTCTCTCTCAAGTTTTTTGCTTTACTGTTGCTTTTTCTGAATTATAGGACTTGTAACATTGACTAGCTAGTAGCTTGTTTGAACTCTAGGGATTGTTGTAACATCCTGAAATAAAGATGCCCTTTCTGTGGTGTTTAAAAGTATTTCAATACTTAGTGCAGAATGCTCACAAGTAGAGACATCTATGACATAGCAGCCCTTTGCTCAGAGAATGAGAGGTAACTAATCATACCAATCTGACTCAATGCTTTGCTGAACAAAATTTCCCCCCTAGAATGTGATTGTGATTGTGAGGATAAATATCTGCTGTAAATCTTAATTTCAGGTCATTCTTCGAAGTGTGCGGTTTTGGGGATGACATTTTAGGCTCTACTGCAATGATGTATACGAGGAGTAGCGTTTCAACTAATCCTCAAGACAACCAGATTGTTAAACCTGCCGGTCGAAAGCTATTGTTAGTTCCACCACTTTCGAAGACCTCGCCATACTCCAAGACCATGAAATCATGAAGTTGAGCCACGGTTTTTAACTCGGCTGAAGCACCAAGATGAGAAGATTTTTGTGTGCTCTGTTGGTTGTCTCTATTTTGGCTTGAAGATGTTGCATAATCAAATTATAACAAAAGAGCCAAAATGGGTTCTCTTTTTCTTTTTCCTGGAGGGGGGAGGCTAGTTCACTTGTAATCTGGTAATTTGATTCTTAGACCCTACCCACCCTTCCATGGGTTAAAAGTCAAGATCATGTAAACTATTGTAAAGTAGTTTCACTGTTAACACATGACCATTTTAGTCATATTCCCTACAGTATTCTCCCGTACGTTTTCTATTTTCTAATTACAGATTCCTGCCCATCTGTGATGCACTTATTGCTGAGGAAAAGAAGTTTGACAAAAGGGGTTACCCTATAATGTTGCTCGGGTATAAAAATTATCTCACCACCAAAGTAAAGTAGCCATCAAGATAATGCAAAACAGCTTCCCTTCTTGTTCTTCATATCAATTTTATCCTAAGAAAACCTTGCACAAGAAAGTTCTCTCAATTTCTCTCTTTCTTCAATTAGCTTGGTATGGGGAAACTCTGGGTTGAAGTGTGCCTGATATCTGCTAGAGGGCTCCGGCGTTCGTCTTCCTTATGGAAGCTCCAATGGTATGCCGTTGGGTGGACTAACCCGAATAACAAATACTGCACCAAGATTGATGCATCTGGAAATGCAAATCCAGTATGGAAAACCAAGTTTGCTACCTTGGTTGAGGACTCGGAGTCGAACTTGAAGGATCTGGCGCTGCACATTGAAGTGTACAGCAGAGAGCCTATATTCCTCAGAGAGAGGCTTCAGGGTACAGCAACTATTGTCTTGAGAGAGTTTCTGGCTAAGCATAACAAGAATTCTGAGGCTTCAAGACAAGGAGCTGAAGAAGTTGGGAGCTATCAATTGCGGAAAAAGAAGTCCAACAAGCCTCAAGGATTCGTCGATGTTTCAATACGTATATCTGAGGACATGGAAGCTCGAAGCTCATACACAGGTATTCATAATTCATGGGGGTGTTCTTCAGAAGCTCTGAAAGATCCAATGTTTCTTATGTAACTCTTTTTTTTTCCAGTTTAAGTTTCTTGTATAAATTCAGTCCCTCATATATGCGTTTCATGGTTGAAGTTTGATGGCAACATGATCCTTGACATATGGTTTGGATCACAGTCTAACTCTTTCAATGGAATTTGATGTGATTATTGACTAATAACTCTGTTTTTGCAGGCAGTGAGGGAGGACCTACGGATCTCAGCAATACCATCACCTTGGCTATTGGAGATGGGTCTTCACCAACATTTCAACCTCTAGCTCCACACCAAAGGCCAGAAAGTCAGCTCCGTATCAATTCTCCATATGCACAACCAAGGCCTTTCCCTACAAACTATTCCAACCCATATGCAGTTGGACCAAGCCACCCACCATCAGGCGGACCAAGTTACCCGCCAGCCAGCAGGCCAAGTTACCCGCCAGCAAGTGGACCAAGCTATGAGCCGCCCAAAACTCCGCCACCACCTCCCCCACCTTCTAATGTTGGGTACATACCCACTTTTATCCCAAGAACAGATAGAATGTCGGATAGCTATGTTAATATGCCATCATCTGGAGCACCACCTGGTCGTAGAGGGGCACCGGGTTTTGGAATGGGAATGGGTGCTGGAGCGCTGGCGGCTGGTGCTGTGATCTTCGGTGATGACTTTATGTCAGGATTTGATATGCCTTCAGGATTACAAGATGCTAGTCTCACCATATCAACTGATCCTCCTTTTTAACCAAGTTTGTAATTAGCATCGGTAATTATGTTGTATCAAATTAATGCAGTATAAAAGTCCACTACTTAAACTTGGTTGTCCCATTAACGCAGTTAAACTCCTTTCCCAGATTATGATCTCAGTAAAGAACAAGAATGTGCATAGGGTTTTGCTCCATTACATATAATGTCAAATGACAGACTATTGGTCGCTTATTGCACAAATCAAAAGGAAAAATTGCAGTTTTACTAATGTCAGTACTTGTCTATCAAGGGACAACAATTGACACACTCAAATCACTAGTATTACAACTACTGAATGTCCAAGTGACTGAGTGAAGCAGAAATATTAACATGGATGGTATTACACCTGCTGTATTATATACTTCGATTTATGGGAATTTCCCATTTCCTGGCCGGACTATTTTCCGACATCCCAAATTCTTCAGATATAGACTGACAACATTCTTATGTTAGTTTGCCTGATCGAGCCAGCCAATTTTCCCCGTGACATAGTAGCATGGGATATAGGAGACAAACTTCACACTACAGCTTGTAGATGTTGGTCCTCAGAATCTTCCAAAGCTCTATACAGAAATTTCTTCACTATTGAAACAAACTCATCAACTTTCTCTTCGTGTGGCAAGTGCCCACAATGCTTTATAACTTCAAGGCAAGATCCAGGTATGGCTCGTGAAAGTCTCTCAGCATTCCACGAGGGGACAATTCGGTCATTATCACCCGTAACAATCAAGACTGGGATTCAAAGAGAGAATGACTAGAATTAATGTTACATGTTTCTTCTTCAACATGGATTACAAGGCATCTCGGACACTAGGGAAAAGAAAAACTACTTTTCTGGTCTAAGGGGACTTTCTTTTTAGTTATTTAAGTCTCTTTCCTTCCAATTGACATATTTTTCAATACATGCTTCAACCCATTTTAACACTAAGTGGGAAATTTATAGGGTTATAAGTTATAACTGTTACCAGGACATGAGATTTCAAGAAGTCTTTTTGCCAGTGGTGGCTTTGATTCAGATGATGTGTCTGTAAGCATGGCTGCTGTGTACTCCACAAGTGCCTTGTCCCAACCCTTAACCCTCAATGGCTGCATGTGAACTAACATCCAGGTGAGCACCATGCTCCCCCAAAATAAAAAACAAAGAGAAGGCAAAACTATTAAAGATAATAACCTTTGTATAACCTTGTATGACATGTTCAGTGACTTGATTCGCGTCATACCATGCATTCCTAACAGCAGTGACACCAAATTTATCAATAACCATCCTTACCTGAGAATCATGTGGTAAGTCACTGTCAGATGTAGCACAAGTATCTTTAAAAAGGGGCAGAAAAATATCACAAAGAAGAACAATAATATGCAAGAAAAAAGAATATCAGTTATACAACCCTTATACTGGACTAATCAGAATATTTGAACAAGATGTTTTCAACAGTCTTGGCCATTTGATATTTTTCTTTGGTTGGCTGGAACACTCGATCAATTTGACAGTATCTGGAAAAATCAAACTGAATGCAGTTTGAAATTGAGTCAAAAGAGAAATTCCTTACTAGCATTACAGCAAAGGCAGAGCGTAGAACAGCTGACAAGAATTTCTTATACAAAGAGCTAAACATGCCTACCATCCCCTTCACCACTCCCATTATTGCCTGTGAAATAAATTTGGCAAACTTGGACAACATTCTGAAAAGCTGGATAAATGGATTCCCTAGATTTATTGAATTTGAGCTATCTTCTTCAGTCTGGTTATCTTCTCCTGATTGAGATCCCTTGACACCCTTTTTAATAGTACGTGGGGCAAAAATTGCTGGGGCAACAAGGATCATAGCAGCAACACGTTCTGGAGCTTCAAAATATGCATCAACTGCTACAAGACAACCAGCTGAATGCCTAATTTAAAAATTAAAATACTGATGAGATGATCACAATGATTGTGAAATTTTATTGTTTCTCCTAAAAGAATTTATATATAGCCGAAAGGTACAAAATGAGACTTAATCTCAATAGCAAAACCAAAAGATAATGATTTAAGTACATACCCCACTAGAATTGCCTTCTCGGCTGCTAGAAAATCAATGAAGTATAAGGTAGCAAGCACTGCAAATGCCATGGAATATGGATTTATAGGTCTTGGTTCCCCATTTCCAGATGATGAATGCCCAAAAAGGTTTACCCTTGATGTCAACCCAAAAGCTGGTCTATCAAAGGCAACAACTTTGGAACCAATGACCTCTGCTAATGGTTTCATAACTCGATTCCACGAGAAAACTGAGGCACCAAAACCATGTAATAAAATCATAGGAAGACCAACATTCTTAGTCTGGCTAGAGAGGGCCTCAGCCTCGTGTGCCTGTGATTGTGCATCATACACCTTGTGGTGTATCTCCACTCCTCTGAACTCACAAAAACAACTATCCGGGTCAGCTAAAAATTTAGGATCCACCAATTCATCTTGATCAATGCCAGCTATTCCCTTCCTTTTCTGCTTTGTTTGCACATCCAGCAATTGCTCTGGTGGTGGTGGATATTTAAAGTCAGAGCGCAAACACACACACACACACACACACACACACACACACACACACAATCAAAAACATAAAACAAAGCAGGAATGAAGAATTTGATGAAGAAAAAGCATGTTACATGCGTGAAGAAGAGCAGAAATGCATAAAGATCAAAATTTAGATACCAGAACCAGTGTATTGGGCACCGGAGCCACTGAGTGAAGAAGCAGAAGCGACTGGGAAACACTTAAGACTGGTGGGGCATTTGGTATCTGAACCAAATCTTGAAGGAAAGCTTAAGCTGATGTTGTTGCCGCCATGAAAGCTTGAAACTTTGCTACAATTCTTAAGCAAGACCAAGTCCGGGCACACCCCAACCCAAACCCCTGCTCTGCTCCCCATATGGATTTTGGCGCCTTCGATCTCAACCCCCTCACCTGAATTTTAAGCAGCACATGGATAAAACTGCTATTTAAAATAAAATATATAACAAGTAATAAGAGAAAGAAATTCTTTTTTCTGTTTTTCTTCAGGAAGGAAAACGACGACGTACTTGCATTATTAACGCAGAAACAAAGAAAGTCAGTTAAAATTGCCCACATTTTGATCTTTTTAATATAAGAAGATTGAAGCCAAACTCCCGAGGAGGAAGACAATGGAGGCTCTGGTTTGCAGAAAATTGGGAGACCCAACAGCACCCATTTCAGGAGGAGGAGCAGAGAAAGCAATAGTGGTGGAGAAGAATCATCCAATTCCTGAATTGGTGTCTCCCACATCGGTGAGGGTGAGGGTGAAAGCTACGAGCTTGAACTACGCCAATTATCTACAGATACTGGGCAAGTACCAAGAGAAGCCACCCCTCCCTTTCATCCCTGGCTCTGACTATTCCGGCGTCGTCGACGCCGTGGGACCTTCCGTCGCCAAGTTCAAAGTCGGCGACCCTGTTTGCTCTTTTGCCGCCCTCGGCTCCTTTGCCCAATTCATCGTCGCCGACCAGACCGAGCTGTGAGTTCAGCTACCCCATCTCTCTCTCTCTCTCTCTCTCTCTCTCTCTTGTTTATTGATGTGGGAATGTTGATGATTGAAGGTTTGGAGTGCCAGAGGGGTGTGATCTGGTAGCTGCTGGTGCACTGCCTGTTGCATTTGGGACATCACACGTGGCTCTTGTTCACCGGGCCAATTTGACCTCCGGCCAAGTACTTATATTTATGATGATCTTCATTTGTATTTGTTTCTGTCTGTATTTGTTTTGTGTTTGAGTTTTTGTGTTTATTTGTAGGTATTGCTGGTTCTTGGTGCAGCTGGAGGTGTTGGTCTTGCAGCTGTACAGATTGGCAAGGTTGTTGGAGCCATTGTTATTGCCGTAGCTAGGTACTTCAACTTATTTCATCCCCTCATTGTTTTTGTTTTGTGGGAATTGGGATTGCTGTTTGCTTTCAAATTGATGCATTTACAAATGGAGTTTGTGTTATTTGGGTGCTGAAATCTCCAGGGGAGCTGAGAAGGTGCAGTATTTGAAGTCATTGGGTGTTGATCATGTCGTGGACTCGAGCACTCAAAATCTTATCCAAAGTGTCAAGGACTTCTTGAAAACCAGAAAGCTTAAAGGGGTTGACGTTTTGTATGATCCAGTTGGAGGCAAGCTTACTAAAGAGGCCATGAAGGTTTTGAGTTGGGGGGGCAACATTTTGGTCATAGGCTTTGCCAGTGGAGAGATCCCTGTTATCCCTGCAAATATTGCCCTTGTTAAGGTAGTGTTTGTTTCCCTCCAGCCCCAAAATGTTGCATTTGTTGGCTCAAATGAAGCCTGCTAAGGGATTGAAATGCTTACTGAGAATTATAGAAGTCATTTGGAAATGATCAATTGATAGTTTGTACTTGTTTTTTTCAAAGTTTGAAGAAAAAGTTGTGATTTAGAACCAAGTTGAAGGTTGAACAGTAACAGAGACCAATTCTCAGTTAACTGACTAGTCTGGCCACTTCAACCACATAGCCTGTGGCATCTGTATATGAAGCCATCCTTACTGGAAATATATGAGAGTGATATTGGAGAAGGCTTTAATGAAAACAGTGTGTACGAAATCTCTGTATCTGAATTCGTCTCCTTAATAGTCAATAGTCAGTGTATTTGTATATTTTAAAACAAAGGATCCACTTCCCCAAAGACCAAGTTAGTGTTGTATTGTGTTTATTACATGGGCATGAAATATATTGTTTGTTCCTGATTTTTCGGTTCCAAACTGATGCCCTTCTACTTATGTATTACTTTGTACCAGAACTGGACAGTGCATGGACTTTACTGGGGTAGCTACAGAATTCATCGACCAGCTGTTCTTGAAGATTCACTCAAGGAGCTACTATCCTGGGTGGCAAGAGGCTTGATCACCATCCGCATCTCTCATACTTATCGCCTTCCAGAGGTTAGGGACTTCCTTACACTCTTTTTTAACCCCTTAACATAGGTACAATCTTAGATTGATAAAAGCTTTTGCTTGAAGATGTGCCACCATCATTGGTTGTTGTCTGTTGAGTATAAGGGCTTGTGCAGAGGGTGGTTAGGACTAGTTCTTTCACCTGAACAAATTAGAAGAGACAAGGGTTTGGATGGGTTGGAAGAAGGTATGAAACTTTAGAGTAGGTTCTCAGAAGCCCTAGTTGGACAAAGTATAGAACTCATCATATGTTGAACCATATTTTAGTATTTTTATTCAAGGAACTTGGTCAATATTGGTTGTGTGATTAAGATTCATGCTCATTGTGTATGATTGCTGCTTTTATTGCAAGTTATTGTGAAACATTGATTATCTGAGCTGCTACCAATTGCCTTGTAAATGACAGGCCAATCTTGCGTTTTCTGCCATCAAAGATAGGAAAGCCATTGGAAAAGTGATGCTTGTTCTTGATGACCAGACAAGTGTAAGATCAAAGCTTTGACTTGATCAGAGTTCAGCTTGGATGGGCGGGCTTTGTAATCGCCAGCACTTCAAATCCATAAACTGCCCCTTTTCATATATTGTGACAAACACATGGTTTCCCATTTGATTGCTGATGATACAAATAAATAAATAAGATCAAATGGTTTGGGTTCATGGTACCAGTTATGAAACTTGAGTTGTTACTGATTCTGAAAAATTATCCAAAACACCGACAATTTCGCATCTTTTGTGGATGAGCTAATTATATAACAAAGGACAATCCAACTTCATTTAGGAATGACCAAGCCCAAGATTGTTTCAGAGTTCAGAGTCTGGCCAGTTTATATTTGGGTTTATCAGCTTCTTTGCTGAAAAAGTTACTCAAAGATAGTATATATCAGGCAAATTAGGGGGAAGAGTTTCATACACACTGACATTTGGCATTATAACAAGTATTATAATTGGCTTTATTTTACCAGATATATGGTAACAAGGAACAACACAACACTTCCAAATATTTACATCCAACAGATATTCAGAAATTGCCAATATGTACACCGGACGAAAGAATGGATAGCTCCAGGAATTATTCGAACAAACTCTATCTTGGCCTACTGTCAGTTTTCAGAAACCGTACATATTCCTGCTGCAACATCTCACCTCCATGAACTGGATCAAAACTGCACCTGTAGAAACTGATAAACCAGAGAGAGAAGAAAATCAGCGAGCAGGGTAAGGAGGGAGACAAAAAATTGGTCCAACTATTTAAAAAAGCATCGAACTAACTAATGTTGTATGTCATTCTCATTCAGGTCTTTGGTTCAGGGTTAGATTTGTCATTTAACGTCCTTTGGGGTTAAAGCCATCCATGAATCCAGATATACCATCGAGGAATATTTACTTGACCATAGTTCCAAAACTTTTAGGCAACTGAACATAAACACACACACACACTCGTACAAAGAGAGGCGATACCTCCCATCCAAGCCAACAATGATGACTGTGTTCTGTGAACCAAATGCGGTAATGAATTGAGTGTCTTCTGGCAAGTGGAACTGAGCAAATGACCATTCTGAGCTAAAATATTTGGGTAAAACCCCTGCAAAATTGTTCACAAGGATTATATAATTTTAGAAGAAAACGCTTAAAGAAGCATTCAAGGGGAAAAAATTGCAAAAGAACTCCAAACCAAAGTTCAGAAACATGAGTTAATTTTAGAGAAGTAAACGTGTATGCCCCTCAAACACTTAGAGCAGAGATGCAAAGTATCCAAGCAGATGACTCATAGTAACTCCAAAGTCTTGAAAATTATCTTTTGGCACATTGCCTTACCTCTCATGAAAGCCAATGATGAACTAGAATTAGCACCAGTGTTTTGAGAAATAAGAGGATCTAGGGCATTTGACGAATTCTGCTGAAACATTGCTGGCCCTTGAGCAGAATTTGAATGGGCAGAAAAATCCTCCCCAAATACTCTAACTCTGAGGCTGAATATATGGACAGTACCTTTGTCACTCGATGCTGCCAACCACTGGACGTTTGGAGAAAGAGCAATACTGTAAATTTCTGCTCTGTCCACTCCTCTGCGTACCTACATGGAGGCAAGAGATAAATATATGCAGTGTTTTCCTTCAGAAAGACACTTACCAGTAGGCGCCACTTCTCCCATACATAAAAGAATATATATTTATACTAGAAATTATGGAGAAATACAAATAACCTTTGTTCTATTCAGTACTTCACAGCATGTTACTGTAAGTACTGAATCCCCAGCCATTCATCATAAACTTGAAGAACAATAATATTCACAGTGCAATATGCTACCTCTTGTAAGCGAGTCCCATCCATTGTGTTGAAGATTCTTATCAAAGTCCCCTTTGTACTAGCAGTAGCAAGAAGCAGTCCATCCATTGTTAACGTGAAGCATGCAATATGAGAATCATGAGCATTTATTAACTTTGTCATGTTCAGCCCAAAATGTTCAATCCGAACTTGTCCTCGTTGAAGGCCTGGGCAAGCCAGCACAGATGTATTTGGATGATGTGAAAGGCAGCACAATCCCCTAGGATTTGCTACAGTCTCAATCTGATGCAGCAGCTTCAGATCCATAAAGTTATAAACGTATATCTTGTGCTCAAGAACAACAACTATGCGATCACGCCTTAATCTTACTGAACGAACCTCAGACCTGAATGAAAATTCACCAATACATCGGCTCTGATGATCATCCCAAATCATAACCTTGTTAGGTGGATATTGGGAATTGTCTCCACTTCCAACAAGTACGAGAATGTTGCATCGAAACAGCATCTCCACAATTTTGAATCCCCCACTTTTCAAATCACGTCTAAAAGTTTCCTTGAAAGGCTCGCAGTTAAAGATACGAAAACCGTTGCTTGTGCCTGCAGAAAAGCAACCATAGTCCTGATTCCAGGATACAGAGAGTAACTCTGTTTCACCGTCATTGATGTCTGGTTCAAGCTGGCTAAAAGAGCCAGACGCCCCAGCATCTGGCGATTCATATGTGCCAAGCCTTGCAGGCGAATGTATTCCTCGAGATGTTGAAACTGTTGAACTCATGAGGGAAGCAGGCACACTTCTAAGCAATCGCCACAATCAATAATCCTGAGAAACGATAGATAGCCTGCACATACAAAGATGAATAAAGATTAATTCTGCCATTGCCAATACCAAATTCCACATAGGATGCTTCAAATAGAAGAAAAGAGTTGACATCGGATGCTAAAGCTGTGGAGGGAGGGGAACAATTGCTCGTAAGGAGCAAAACACAACAAGTTCTCAAATACAAAAGGGACCAGATCCAAAGAATCCAGAAACATAAGAATGATTGTTCTGCAGGGAAGTATAAAGTTAACAACATCATCAAACTGAAAGCCTCTAAGGAAGCTAAGAAGGGATGAATCAGATCAAATGCTAATTCAATATAAACAATAAGTTTCTAGAAAAAGCACGAACTTGTAGAATGCTATATCAATTATCAACCTTGTGAAGAAACCCACAACGCCCCTCCTATTTTTCAGAGCAAATCTCCAATTCCCATTACCAAATTCACCAAATTTTATTCATAACTTAGAAAATCTCCATTAGAATAAGCACATTTTCCATAGAATTGTCGTCAACAATCAAGCAATCACAAGACTACGGGCTAGTAAATCTCGACCACCAGAATGACAAACAGAAATCATATACGAAAAATGAAAAACCATTGCGAATTTTTCCGAACTTACACTTTCAGCAGCCTTTCACAATGATCAGCGGAAGTTCAAATCCTTCGTACAGCTGCAAATCTTCCATCGGAAGAAAAAAAACACAAATAAGAAAGTAATTATATAAAAGGAAGAAAGAGAAAAAGAGGGGACTGGCATAGCATGAAACCAACGGAATGAAATGGAATCGAAATTGCATTCAGAGCGAGAGTCAATTGCTGAATTTCGATGACTGACCTTCTCTGATCTGAGACAGACGGGCCATAGCGGCCGAGAAGATGACAACGATACGTCTGCGTTTCCTTTTTTTAAAATTCTCTTATTTTTCTTCCCCTCTTTTTTGTGTTGTGTGCCCTAGTCTACGTAGACGACATTGCCACGCCAATGTATCATTAATTAGCTAATATTAGTTGAACACTTGCAATCACTAATGATGATGATTTAGAAGATTATTACTTGATCCTATCCAAAGGGAGCAGAAATTACTTGTCGCCAAACGTTAGCCCCTGTAATGCTTAAAGAGCATTTTCTTTGCAGAACTTTTAGAAACAATTTGATGTTGCATTTACAAGGTAATACAATTTGTTGGATGTGATATTTTATTTTCTTAATCATATATAAATGTTAATAGATAATTATTTTACATCATTTTTGCTTTGTATATAGTTATATGTAAAGTTGTGAATAAATAAGTTTCCTATCGAGAAGTGATAATATACTAAACTTACACTACACGATGCTAAGACTCAAACTTATGACATTTCCTAAGACTCAAACTCATGACATTTCCAGGAGCACAGATTCTTTGTATACAGAACTTGGATTTTAGTTGAAAAAAATTGTTGTAATTTAATAGGAATGAGGTCAGTTGTCGTCTAGATAAGCATATAATGGGGCTCATCATTATTTCCTAAATTTATTGTAAAAAATACTCCTTTAGATTTTAATTTTATTATATATAATAAAAAACACTATTTAAAATTTAACCCTTTTGATTATATTCTGTGTTTTTCACTAGAAAAATGAAACCGTGTAAAGCTCATATTAAAAGTTTTAAGTAATCCCAAAAGAAGTATAGGATTCTTAAAAGGTTTAAGTAATCCCAAAAGAAGTTCAAATAGTTCCTTATTATTTAATAATGTCTTATACTCGGGTAACTTGACTAAGCTCACGTTTGTTCTTATTCTTTTGTTTAAATGAAACCAAACTAATGCCTTATAACCACAAGAGCACACTTTGCCATTCATTCTTAAAAAACAAAAGAAAGAAAAAACAGAAAAAGATCCGTGTAAAAGAATAAACTTGAACTTTAGCCAAGCTGCGTCAATCAACCATTGGAGTTTGTAAGTCCAGAGAAGAAGAAAAAGAAAAATGGGACCACAGTGCATGCCTTGCCTGCAAGAAATTTACATGACCAACGTGAAACTCCCAAAGTTTCATTCATCTCTGCATTAAACAAATGCTGATTTCCAAAAGAGGAAGTTTGCCCGTTTGCTCCAATCTTCCCAAATATGGCAATCTACAGTGATCGCATGATCAACATTATCAGATTTTTACACCACTCACCGCCCATTTCCAACAAAAAAAAGACTTGAAAACAGAAACCCACCTCCAAGAAAAAGCTTTAATCATATATATATAATATAATCCTGGCTTTAATTTCCTTATTTGTTCCACACTTTTGTACTTTTTAAAGTCCTTTTACGAGAGCAAACCCCTTCTCTGGTAATTAAAAAAATTAATATAAATAAAAGACAGCAGCATAGAAGACCGAATGGCTGGCAGGCACAGC